CAGAGAATCTCAATACTATAAGAGTATATTACACTCTCATAGTCAATATATAATATATTTTTGTTATGTTAAATTTCATCAACATCACCATGTCAGCCCTTAACTGTCCACTGCTAAATATAAACCTCCCCCTTTATCAGTAGTGCTACGCTTGACAGGCGGAGTGGCAACCGCAGTTAAACTTTGGAGATGTTTTAAGAGGGACGCTGACGCTACGTAAAAATTATTCCGTAAATAAAAATGGTAGCTTTAATTATTATAAAATTAATGCAGTAAAAATCATATCTAGTGTCTACATAAAATTACGATAAGATTAAGAATTTACAATTGGATATGTGATTTTGCTTAGATAGCATCCGATCGTAGGTTTCATACTCGTAAGACCGGTATTTCATTTATGTATATTTAAATCGGCGTGTACGCTAAACCAGCGTTTTACAAGTTTTACAACAGGGAGAATTCCTACAAAATTTACATATTTGCATACAACATTGCCAGTTGTCGTATGCAATTTTGGGTAATTTTTTTAAAATTCGCGAGATTTTCATTGAATAGTAATTTAAGAGATAGGAGCGCTCGCTTAGTCAACTCTCTTCTTCTTAAAAGAACATCAAATAAGTGCAGTATAATATATATATATATATATATATATATATAAAAATTATATCTTTATAGAGTAAGTGAAGAAAATTATTTTTTTTGAGAAAAACTATTTGAAGTATGGAAAGAAATCAAACGTCCTATTTGGATACGTTTGTATAGAAATTGAATGAATGAATGAATGAATAAAATGCAATTCCATTTGTTATTCTGCAACTAAGCAGCTGTGTTTATGTGGCGGTGTTTCAGATTTGATGGATTGGATGTGTCAGGGAAATTACAAGGTACATAGACGTAACATCTCAGTCTGGGGGGAAGGAAATTGTTAGTAATGCGGACTACCAGTCCCATTACTAGCAATATAGCCTGTCAGGTCGACCTCCACGTGGTCCCCCTGCAAATCACCGTGCTGAATTCCAAGTGTATTCATCACGATGGGCTAACTGGTCTGTCTTTTCATTTTCAGCGTATACTATTAGCGCAGGTGGGGTTACTAGTCCATTATCATCTATTTAAAAAGATTATGCACTGTTAGGGTTTCATGTATCCATGCTATTTAATTATATTAAAAGATTTAGTTACTTTGTCTAGATTATTTTCTTGCATATTTTGCCAGTTGATTCTTTCCAGTGTGAAAAAAAATATATATATATATATATATATATATATATATATATATATATATATATATATATTTATATATATATATATATAAATTATATATATATATATATATATATATATATATATATATATATATATATATATATATATATATATATATGATATTTGTTTATTTCATTTATTATCACGCAATAGGTAACCTCATACCTATATACTCGTATACAGAGATTAAATTTGTGCGTCAAAATTATTTTTATCTACATTTACATTTGACCTTTGACATTATTCAAAACGATGTACGGTTTTGATAATTTCTCCTCCGTGACAGTATACAATGGACATTATATGCTTCTCTGAATACATATCGATAGAACACTTCTCTTGGCTGTTATCCAATTATTACTGCAGAACTAAAACGAACTGTGGACCAGCGGGTACACCATGAAATGAAATTCCGAAATTTCGGACTCAATTTCGTGTTTTTGTTTATACCAATACCAATTGGACCAATAAATGGAGTTTAACATTTCGTTCGTCATACATCCTATCATAAAAATCCAACATTTTTAATATTTCCAAACGGTATGTATTATGTAATTTTAACATCAAATTTCTGTTTCGTTTGGCTCCGAAATTTCGGAAAACATTTCATGGTAGACCCTCAGATAACAACTGTGATATATACTTTTTGAATGAAAATAGAATAGTAACCCCGCTTGCGCTATTAGTATACACCGGCGTGGCACCAGGGAGGGATGATAAGTGAGGATGAAACAGTTCACTTGACCAATCGTGACGAATTTAACAATAAAACAACCACGATGGTTTCCAGGAGGAACCATGAGGAGATTGACCTGACAGAGTATATTGCTAGTAAGAGTACTACTAATTCTCATTATAAACAATCCCTTTTCCTTCCAACTTTTTTTTTATACCACTGAGTTGACAAACAAGCATACGGCCCACCTGATGGTAAGTGGTTACCGTAGCCTAGAACACCTGCGATACCAGAGGTATTACACGTGCGGTTAACTGTGATAGATAAGTCTTTTATTGAATGAAATGGGATGATAATCCTGCTTGGGCTATTGATTTGCTCTGGTAGGGTACCAGTAAGCGATTATAGGCGAGGACGAAATCAGGTCAGTTGGCCCATTGTGATTAATTCACTGTAATAAATGACGACAATTTCATAGGGCGATCGTGTGTTTGTCGACCTGATAGGGTACAATGCAATTGAACCTTGCGATTATTCCCAATTCCTCCTCTATTTCCATTTAAGACTTTATTAGCCACTTTATAGCGGTGAGACCTTGTTTGCTCTTTCTCTCTTCGTCCATTTCATTACTAAAGGTCGTGTCCTTGAAAAGTGTCTGTTGCGTCTCTTATGATGTTACTCCATCTCACACCGTCTTCAGCCTCTCGCAGGGCAGCTGCAACAGACAGTCTCGTAACGACGGTTACTTGGTCCGACCATCGACTAGGCGATCGTCCGCGTGGTCTTTTTCCCTCTATCTTGCCTACAACCATTAGCTTGTCCAGATTGTCCGACTGTCGATGAGACTTGTTTGCTATTTTATGTTTAAAACAATATATTACCATAGTAAATAAGTCATTGAAGATTTTAAATTAACATTCTAGATTGTAGCAGATGTTATTTCAAATAGGATATGAAAATCACTGAATAAATTTAAAAGAAAACGTAATTTAAAAACGTAATCGAAAATTACTGGATTTGAGCCAATACATCTAGATGTATTCTGTTTAGACTTTTGGGAGATTTGTTCTTTGATGTTTACCAGAAAATGAAATGTGCATATGTATGTATTATATTATATTGTATATTATATTGTACATTTGTATAGTTCTTAATTTTATTAACGTTGGAAAGTTGAATAACCGGGAAGTCTATTATGAACTCTTTACTTTTATCTAGTTTACGTTTCTGACTCATGTATCCACTTCTAACAATAACTAACTCAAAGCGTTGCGTTCAGTCAGTGGATACTGGTGACTCAGGCAGGAATAATAGCTGCATCAAAACCGAAACACTAACAACCTATATATACGCACTATACAACAATAAATGCCCTCCCACCATCCATCTTCTCCTACTCTGGCAGGAGAGAGCGCTCCTACACTTACCATAAAAGAAACACTATCTAGAAACCATCTTGAAAAATGAAAATTACTACAGAGGGCAGAGAGGACTGTCAGTAATAGAAAGTATAATAGTTCGACCTCAGTCAGCCAGTTATGGCATATCATGGACATGTGGCATCAAACCTTAAATATGTTATGGGAAAATTTGGTAAATATTAACAGAGCGTTTATATCTCATAAACAATGTATCCGTGCCGTCTGTAATAAACGACCTATGACACTTTATACGCTACTATTTCACCAGCTGAAAGTACTTACGGTTCCATCAATGTATATATTGGAGTGTTTTTTTTTTAATGGGTGAAAATGGTATGGTAACCCAGCCTGCGCCAACGGGATACGCTGGCGGAGCACCAGTGAGGGATGATAGGTGAGGATGAAGCAAGTCACTTAGCCCATCGTAACGAATTCAACAAGAATTGTTCACGATGGTTTCCAGGGGGAACCACGTGGAGGTCGACCTAATAAGGCATATTGCTAGCAATGGGGCTGTCAAACTCTATTGCTAACAATCCCTTTCCCCCATATTGGAGTGTTTTTTTTTTATGGGTGAAAATGGTATGGTAACCCCGTCTACGCTAACGGGATACGCTGGCGGAGCACTAGTGAAGGGTGCTAGATGAGAATGAAAACAGGCCAGTTAGCCCATCATGATGAATTCATCAGGAATCAACCATGATAGTTTCCAGGGAGAACCGCGAAGAGGTCGACCTGGTTAGATATATTGCTAGCAATGGGATTCTCAGTCTCCATTACTAACAATCCCTTTCCCCCCATATTGGAGTGTTGTCTCTTTGTAAAAAAAAAACATTCCTATTTTTTTGCAAAAAAATATTATTTTTATAATTTTACTATTATAGAAATCCTGAGAGGCTTAGTTACCAAACATAAAATCACATCTATATCATAGTAAGTTACTCATCATGTATAAGAATTTACAATAAACTAGCAAATTCACTTACTGATCTGTGTTTGAAAAGGTTTAAAGTCATTTTATGTAAATGGTTGATTACAAAATGTTTATATACACTGAAAGATTATTTTACAAGTAAAATGGACGACATAACATAACTGATTCTTGAATGTAGGATGTTGTATGCAATATATATTTGTAAATCTATGACTGTTGTAACTATGTGAAAAATAATGTCATGCATGTATAAATTTACAATAATAACTTGAATATCAATATGGCTTCAGTATTAATATAACTTGTACCTAATAGCAATAATAATTTTTTTTTATACTACTTAGAATGACAACAAGCTGACGGCCCACCTGATGGAAAGTGGTAACCGTCGCCTATAGACACGAGCAGTACCATGGACATAACAGAGTATACTGTTTCGCCCATAATACCCCTCATGCATTGCCATTCCTGATGACTCATATGATATTCCGCTGTACCCAGTAAATTCACGCCATATCCCACCCTTCAAACCGAAACACAGCCATACAAACACAACTGCTTCAAGGTTGAAACACGAATGGGACAGAAGTACCCAAGCAATCGACTTTTGTACAAAGTCTCCCTCTGGTGAGGACATATAAAAATGTTATATGCCAAGCTGGCTGAATGTTAAGGATACACAAAATGTATTACCTAAACTTACCCCATTTATCGCAATAAATATCCCTCTGAAGGCCATCAAAGGTAATCCTTGATGAAATCGTCACAATGGTACGCCAACTGATGTATTAACCACTTCATTTCTCATTTACGTCAGCGTGTACTGATAGCGTAAATATTGTTCTTTGAATTCTTGTATTTCAAACTATTTACTTACTTAATTTTAATTCAATGAATATTAATTGTATTTGAATTTTCCTTAAAAAGTTAACGAACACAATTTTGTATTTAATTAACAAAAAACAATTCAATTTTAACAAAACTAATTTGGGGGGGGGGGAAGGGATTGTTAGTCATTGGGTCAAATAGCCCCATTACTAGCAATATTTCCTGTCAGATCGACTTCCACGTGGTTCCCCCTGGAAACCATCGTGAACAATTCTTGTTGAATTCGTCACGATAGTGTAACTGGCCTGCTTCATCCTCACCTATCATCCTTCACTGGTGCCCCGCCGGTGTATACCGATAGCGCGGGCGGGATTACCATTCCATTATCATCCATTAAAAAAAAACTAATTTGGGACCAACACGAAAGCCCAACTGTTAGATTACAAAAAAAGAATCGTCAAAGTTGAATTAAAATTAAAAACGATATATAGTCAAATTGAAAGACACGAGGTAAAGTTAAATACAATAATTGTGCTTAAAAGGTATAAATTAATATTGTTTCCTGGTATTGTTCATTCATTGATAAAAGGACAATGAACTCGTGTGATTTGTAAAGACTAACTTAAGTAAACTCACTTTTTGAAAATTACGGTACTTCTAGGAGGTGTCATGTCTTATATGTATATTTACATCTATACCATATGGCATGTAAATAATTACAAATAAATGCCCATTAAGAAAAAAAATATAATACGTTGGACTGATAAGATACATTGCTAGCAACAGAGCTGTTAGACTTCATTACTAACAATCCCTTCCCCCTTTAGAAGTTGTTTGAAAAAAGAGTTTGTTACAATCACGATACACTTCTATTAACTGCACTGCACTGGGGAAAATGTATAAGGTGCGACCTTATACATTTACCCCGACAGTAACTCAAGGTAAACGTATGATCATATTGATTTTGGCGGAAAACCCAACTATGTACATACATAAGATCACGTACGCACACATGCACAAATCCGGTATGACTATGTACACTACTACCAAGTACACTATTAATCATTATACTATAGAATACTATGGGAAAGTCTTCTCAACATGACGTTTGTCATTCATATATTAATGACGAATATTGACAGTGACGTGTGAGTATTAGGTATTAGGGAACATGTAATAGGTATTGTAGAATTATTTATGACGCGTTTATATATAGATTACTGCAAATTCATTGGTAGTATTGTAGTGACGCCAATTTTATAAAAAAATTTGAGATAACTATTAATTTGTGAAATATATTATTAAAATATGTGAATATATATTAACTTATTAAACTTTAGTACACATATATTATTAAAATATGTGAATATATATTAACTTATTAAACTTTAGTACACTTAGAAAGTGTAAATAACTGACTTAATATCAAATAGACAAGAATTACAAAAAATATAATTGATGGTACAAAGTATTAAGCAATATTAAATTAAATTATTATTTAAATATAATACTCTATAGTATTATATATATATATATATATATATATATATATATATATATATAAAATATCGGACAAAAAACTAAGATACAAAAGAAACACCGTGAGTCGTGAGTATATATATATATTAGTTATTATTTTTTTAAGCATTAGTGGCTATTAATAAATAATTAATTATTATTGATAGATTATTACTATTTTAACATAATTAGCTTCGTAATAATGATACGGATTTGTTTTCTTATAAGTTATTAGACTTGATACTATTCATGTACTGTTGTGATACTGTTCATGTAGGTGGGCCGTTAGCTAGTTTGCTATTTTAAATTGAACAAAAAATATTTAATTTAATTTCATAACGTATGGTCACCCTACAATCGACGGCGCCGGCTCAGACGTCCCAAGATATACATGGGCGAGCTAACATCTCGATCGTTCAGTTGCGCCCGCGCATCCAAACCGGTGTTTTCGTTCTAAATATACACGCCGCGTATTTACACTCGTGACACATAGTGACCTGTGAATAAAATAAAGTGATAGTAAAAAGTGAAATTTTTATTAACAGGTGCGTCATGACATTTTAACTCTTTTTTTCATAAATTAATAACCAATATATTTTAAATTCTTCAATAACCGCTTTAGATGATTCTTTTACTTAATTGAAAAGATTTATCCCGTATTTGTGTTCATATAACTTTGGTCAAGATTGAAGTAGATTTTTTGTGGCGTAAAATTTTATTTATTCAACTTATTTTACACATTTTAAAATTCATTTTTGGAATTTAACGCGACGGGATAACAATAAGGCCAGTATGCACAACTTACGTTATGTTAAAAGTCTCGAAAATATATTAAAATGTTTAAGAATCGCTAAACAAAAGTCATATTCAGGCATAAAAAAAGTTTCAAATAAAAGAAGCGGATAAAGTAGGAGATGAAAATAAGGAAAATAGGCTCTTCGACTACTCCATAAAATACATTTTAAATAACTTTTACCCTAAAATCTTTGCATTCTATAATTATATTAAAATCTGATAGTTTATGCCAACTTACTTTTACAGAAACCACACTGAAGTTCGTTCATCTATTTGCAATACTAATGCAACATACACAAATTGACAAAAGTATGAAAAAGTAAATTTTTATAAGTATGACTTATAAAAATTTATTTTGTTTAACTCGCCGAAAGTTATATAGTAAATTATTTCGATTTATCGATGACATTCAACAATTAAACAAATTTCCATATTTCTGAATTATTATTAAAAAAAAGTGCTTTACTAATCATAAACAGTTGACTACTTTATAAATTCAAATTACCAATTTTGGAAAATACCATACAAAAATCAGTATTTAGGAATGATTATTAGTTAATAGTGCTCTACGATAATAAATAGCAAATTAAAATTGAATTATAATTGTGTATTCTAAAAATAATGAAACAGTCTTCAATGGGGCCCATGTTCAGCGATGTACAAATATAAAATACCGTTACAACCATATTTAGAAACAGACAGACAAAATTTCTAATAATTTTTGTTTTGGCCTCTAATAGTCTTATTAAAATTCCCCATATTATTTTTTCTTAAATACAATTTTACTAGATTACATAGATAGAGTGTCTTCATACAAATGCTTCGGGAAAAGCGCATCAACTTATTCGTACAGTTTTGCTTAATAAATAGTTATGAGCGTTCACTTTATAACTTCTATATTTATTATGTTTTATAATTTTTGCATATTTTTAATGCGTAAAAATTCATTTTATTTATTTAATATAGATACGTCAAGATACATTATATGCGTAAGTAGTAAGTAGTTTAATTTGCAAAATATTCTTACAAATTTTGTATAAATATAACATATAGACATCTTTTCTACAAAATTTCAACTGTATATATATATATATATATATATATATATATATATATATATATATATATATATACAGTACAAAGTACAATACAGTATACAAGTACAGTACATATATATATATATATATATATATATATATATATATATATATATATATATATATATATATTTGAACTAATTATAATACTAGTTCAAAAAACTTTATTTCCTTAGTTAAGTTTCAAAAACGGTTCAGCGAATTTGACAATTAGCTAACTTTGTGTCAGCTGACCCGTTTTTGAGACTCGATGCTCTATCTCAATGTTTTTCAATCGTTTTCATGACACGACTCCCGTTTTATGTAAAAATATCTTGCGACCCCCTACCCTCCACGGTTTCAAATGTGTATGAATTTTATTATAGTACAATTATGAAATCCGTACAGTTGTATTTATAAAATACTAATAAAATATCAGAAAACGTATGTAATCGATGTCTGTTATATATATTTCATTATGATTGATTGATGTATTTACGGAACTGTTAATTTTTCACTGAAAAATTAACAAACTTTCAAAAACATTGCTCTATCTATATTATATATATATATATATATATATATATATATATATATATAAACAATTTTATTATATCAGTAAGGTAACGATGAAATATGACACACCGCATCTTTGAATATTGTCTCATTTATAAAAACGCGTACGAAGAACATTACCGATATTAGGGCATCATCGCTAATAATTACATGTATCTACATGTAGATTATGTCACAGCTCGTGCTTGACAAAAGACAAGCTACCACATTAGTATGTATCGCCATCACCGTCACCGTCACCGCATCGTAAACAAGTGCACGCGGCAAAGTCACAAAAAACCCATCTGTCCAATTTTTTTCTGGTTGTTTAATATTTTATTATTATTAATATATATTATATTGTTATAATTTTATTATTATAGTAATAAAATTATAATAATTTACTATTACAAATAACTAGGTTAATGATACATAAAAATGTCAACAGTAAATCGGTCATTAATACTAGGTGGGTTTACAAGATCACACGTTCGTTTCCCGTCTGGCGCAATTTGAAAAAATAACTAAAATGTACTTAAAAAAGGAGACGATGCATCTTACGACAAGACTCTTCCTTATGGGGATCTGTAAAAAACTTGCAGTGGGGTTAGAGATTTCACATAGTGATGCTAGATCCAAATTTAAGGTAGGGCAAAAAAACTTTGTGGTAGAGCAGAAGCCATAATTAAGTGACTTCGAAAAAGCGAATCTGTCTAATTTTCTTGGGGCCTGTCACTTTAAGGTAGGGCATTTTTTTTTATGGGTGAAAATGGTATGGTAACCCCGCCTGCGCTAACAGGATACGCTGGCGGAGCACTAGTGAAGGGTGATCGATGAGAATGAAAACAGGCCATGATGGGCTACATGTTGAATTCATCAGGAATTAACCATGATAGTTTCCAGGGGGAACCGCGAGGAGGTCGACCTGGTTGGGTATATTGCTAGCAATGGGATTCTCAGTCACCATTACTAACAATCCCTTTTCCCCAAAGGTAGGGCATTGCCCCTCAATGCTTCCTCCCTAGCCATGATCAAAGGGTATTTAATTAGTTTTGTTTATTTAAGTAAATATTACTTACTCATAAATTAAAACAAAAATCTAGTAATCGAATCTCTACACTAGGAGTACATGTGTTGTAGGCGACTCGTTCAATGCTTAATTATATTATTTTTATTAGAAATTATATTTTATACTAGCGATCCGACCCGGCTTCGAACGAGTAAACAGAATTTTCGAAAATCAATACATGTAATAAAAAAATTTTCAGCCAATTCAACTGACCGATTATTATACAGCATTTTATATGCGATACTTTTAAATTGATATAGCTTTTTTATTTATGAACTGATTTAAATAAAACAAACACCAAATGTTAAGTAGAGCAAACCGCAACGCATTAGTAAAAATCGTATTCAAATCGGGTAAGCCGTTTCTGAGAATAGCGTGCATAAACGTACAGACAAACAGACAAACGGACATGCAGACAAAATTCTAAAAATCATTGTTTTGGATCCTGTTGTATTCATAAAACTCCCCTATAATAGTTTTCTTACGCATAAGGGGTATCATGAGCGAAACAGACTCCGTTATGTCCATGGCACTGCTCATGTCATAGGCGATGGTTACCACTTTCCATCAGGTGGGCCGTCAGCTTGTTTGCCATTCTAAGTTGTATAAAAAAAATATCTACCATGTACAGACAGTTACGATTTTATTATATGTATTATTTTGAAATGTGTTTAATATTTATTTATTTACAAGAAACATGGTAAGTGTATAGATGTTACAATAAGTATAAGTCCTCATATTTCGTCATAATTAGGCATGCAAATATTAAAACTTAAAAAGATTTGTTCAATAAGTCATTAAAATTCGAAATGTTATATAAAAAAAATACATCAAAAATGTCAGATACTTGTCAACAATAAAAAAGAAAGAAATGTCACTGTCAAATCGTGGACTATTGGTAACGGATGCATTGTAACACGATAGGTAATTCAAGTAGGTTGTTTACCTTTTTGTATCAAAAACTCTTGCACACTGTAATGTAAAAGGACTCCTCAACAAGTATCCTACTTTGTCGATGATTCAATAGTTATATGCGAGACTTATACACTATATTTTATTGATTTGTATGTTTATTCACGTGGTGTGAACTTACATTGTCGTCTTTGGGTGCGTTAGGTAACTTTATGTCTCGATTTAAATATGTACATACATTAGTTTTCGTTATATGCATATATGTAGGTATCTAGCAAAAAACAAATAAACGTAATATTAAATTGATTTTTTGTCATGCATCTTAGAATGGCTAACAAGCAGATGGCCCTTTTGAAAGAAAGTGGACTGTCGCGTATTGACTTAATTCTGGATATCCTAGTAGCAGATTTGTTTATTTGTTTTTTTTTTGTAAACATTGTAGTGTGCATACACTTTTAATATAGATATCAGGTCATAAAGAATATTGCTTGGGTACCTCTGTCCCATTCGTGTTTCAACCGTAAAGCAGTTGTGTTTGCATGGCTGTGTTTCGGTTTGGAGGGTGGGATATGGCGTGAATTTATAAATAAATAAATAAATAAATAAAATTTACTGGGTACGGAGGAATAATACCTGTGTCCTCAGGAATGGCAATGCATGGGGGGTATCATGGGCGAAACAGTATACTCTGTTATGTCCATGGTACTGCTCATGTCTATAGTAACTATAGATTAAGCATATATACTTATATATCTAATATATATATTTTTAAATTTGTTACAGATAAAAAATGGAGCCGCTAGTAGTCGATGTAGTTCATTTCTATCCGAAAGAGAACGCTCAACCACATAACACGAGCAAGTAAGTAGTTTTTTTTTTAGATTATGATTCAGGGTTGTCAGATGCTATTTTTGATTTTTAACCAAATATAAAACATTTTTTTTTCTCCATTTTGATACGATTACCTTTACTTTTACTTGATCATAGACTTATGTCCATTTTTATTACTTTTTGGCATTCACTACGTTTAAGTGACGTTCATAATACAATTTCAAAAATTGCATGTAACATAGCACCCATAATTTATAAATGATGCGGTATATACAAAGGGAAATAAATGACTGCGGATAAAATGGCCGTTATCAGAGTACGCCTTAAAGATTTTTTTATAAGTGTTTTGTTTTTATTTGCTTAGGCCTTACAATATTTTTTTTGCGTTTTTTTTATACATATGTTCACCATCTATGTAAGTGTAATTCTTAATCTATAGTGTATTTTTTTCTTAATTTTTTTTTCATCTACATATATAGATGTAATCAGGTACAATTCTCGATCTATAGTTATAATGTAAATACTTTTTTTGTAGATATGAAGTAGTGAATGACGAAACCCCCACAACGACAATAGTCCGCCGCGGACAACCCTTCAACGGCGTGGTACGGTTCAACAGACCATACCAAGAGGAAGTAGATTTGGTACAACTCGTGTTCACACTTGGTAATTTTTTTAATTATTATTAGATGAGGAAACAAATAAGTTTTAACTATTTGTCCTTGACACAACATTATTGGTTTAGACGTTTGTTTATTTAAGCATATAAGTACGTTTAATTATTATTAAATTGTTGGATTAACTCATCGAAATCGTTTCAAAGTACAAATTGTAACGGAAAAGTAATAACAATTCCAGTCTTAGTTACTATGTCCAGTATTAATTAACTAAACATCTTTCCTCACAAAAGGTTTAATATCTAATAATAATAAAAAAAAAACAACCTTTAGTTCTTCAAGATGCTTGTAAATGTATAGGTATGTTCGAAAATTAAATATTACTAGCTGTATCCCTCGGCTTCGCCCGCATGAACTAGTACGTAAAGTATCCTATATGTTATGTAAGGATATAACCTAATCCAAATTACATTCAAATCCATCTAGTTACAAGATGACAAAAAAGCATCCAAATGTCCATTTTTACAAATTTTCATCATTTACCTTGTCTAATACGAGTAAAGGTGACCATACTACTTTTTTTTTATACGACTTAGAATGGCAAACAAGCTGACGGCCCACCTGATGGAAAGTGGTAATCGTCGCCCATAGACATGAGCAGTACTTATTCAGAGTTGCAAATTTATATCTGGCCAGTGCAATCTCTATATGATTAATCCATATATAAAAATAAATAAATAACGAAGTTAATTTTGATTATCTCAGTTCGCTTCGCAGTGTAGAATGCACTTTAAACTAGAAAATTGATAAATATGTAAATTGTGTCTCGCTTGCTGACAAGGTATCTGTACTGTTATTATAATTAATTATAATATTAAGTGGCGTCTTATATTAAATGAGTATCCATGTTTGAATATTAATGATTTGTGTATATTTAGTGAATATTATTAGTCTGCTTATGAAAATACTATAATACGAAAAATCTTTATGAGTTTTCAACGTTTTTTTTTTATACAACTTAGAATGGCAAACAAGCTGACGGCCCACCTGATGGAAAGTGGTAACCGTCGCCTATAGACATGAGCAGTACCATGAACATAACAGAGTATACTGTTTCGCCCATGATACCCGCCATGCCTTGCCATTCCTGAGGACTCAGGTGTTATTCCTCCGTACCCAGTAAATTCACGTCATGTCCCACCCTTCAAACCGAAACACAGCCTAGCAAACACAACTGCTTCACGGTTGAAACACGAATGGGACAGAGGTATCCAAGCAATCGACTTTTGTACAAAGTCTCCCTCTGGTATTTATACCTACATTGTTATTGTTTATTTTCATATTGCTATTATGTATTTTCTATAAAAATTAGGAATATATAAATATATATTTTTAAATACAATAAGATGGCAAACAAGGACTATAGTCAGACGTGAACGAGACAGGGTTTTATATGCTCCTTTATGGGGTAGGCTTATGTTCAGCAGTGATAGTTAACAGCTGATATGATGAAGAAGAAGAAGAATCTGTTTTATAATGCTAGAAAAGAACATTCTTCTCCATTACTGACAGTGGCTTCCCCGCCCTCGGCCTCTATTTAGTTTGTAATTGGTGCTCTATGATTATATCCGTTTTCTGTATTTATGTTCTTTTTTTAAATAACTTTATTGATCAAAATAAAATAAGGTACAAAAGGCGGACTTAATGCTAGTAGCATTCTCTACCAGTCAACCTTTGGGATGAAGAATAAACAACGAACGCGCTACTTCATTATTGGGATGTACATCATAATCCTGTTTTGTCTTTTAGGGGACAAACCTCAAATGGATACTCAAGGATCGGTGTTCCTTCGTCGTGATGCTGTATCAGACAAGCATTCGTGGAGTGCCAAACTTACTAACGTTCAAGAAGATACTCTGTCCTTCGAGGTGAGTATTGTACTATCTACTAAATAATTAAGAGTTATATTACAATACCCCGGACAAATAAAAAAAAATCAAAACCAAAAAGCATATTCCTCTTTAAAAGGCCTGTAGCACACCTGCAATATTTCTGGTGTTTCAGGTACTCATGGGCGTTTAACTTTTCATTTTTATTTCATTTAAAATGGCCGCCATTTTAATTAAAATTGAAATACTAAAAGTAAGTGCGTTTTGTTAAAACTGAAACACAAAAAGTAAGCGTGTTTTGTTCGATTTAAAAAATAATATGTGTTAAAATATAGCCGCGACGCTAGTTTTCAATGAATGGTGTATGTTATTTAAAAATAAATATTACATTCTACCAAAGCCGTGTGGTCCCGACATAGAATAGGCCACCTTTTACTTCCCTGTAGGTGTCGTAAGAGGCGACTAAGGGAGGCCGAGGGATAACCAGCAGCGTCTCTCTTAAAACATCTCTAAAGCCTAACTTCAGTTGCCAATCTGCCTGGCAAGCGTGGCAACTACTGGCAAAACCCCTCAGGGAGGCTTATGTTCAGCAGTGGACAGTTAAAGGCTGACATGATGATGATCTCTACCAAAACCAAGATATTAAATTAAGTTGATAACAATTAAAGATTGGCATTCAAACAATTTGTAGGTATTAATTAAACATGGAGATATCTTGATCAATACCTACTGTTTATTCGATCCGCTATAAAGACCTACAAGAACGCTCATTTTAATATATTCACCTTTATATTTTTTATGCAAGAATCCTAATTCTTGCATAAAAAAAGAAAATATGGAAAAAAAAAACCTAATAATCTACGCAGTAAATATTCACAATTACGTGATACTTTATATTCTGTAAACGGGTTTGTTTAAACTGATATTATGGCAACACTGGGCACGTGTGTAAATAGCACTCATGTGTTTGCTGGCAAAACTATTAGAAAATTTGCAAAGCGTTTCAGCGTTTATTTATTATTGTTGCTTGTGAGCTTTTACTTAAAGATTTAAGTAAAAAGAATTTAAGCCAAAACACAGATATTAATATAATCTTATATTATTCTTATGAATATAATTTCTTACTAATATAATAAAATAACAAAATGGGCAGCAGCGTCCTTTTTAAAACATCTCTAAAAGCCTAACTGCGGTTGCCAACCCGCCTGCCAAGCGTGGCAACTATTGGCATAACTCCCCTTATGGGAAAGGCCTATGTTCAGCAGTGGACAGTTAACGGCTGAATGATGATAATAAAATGAGTTAACATACAACTATAATTTCATTACATTCACAAATATTTTCGATTTCATGTCACCAAGCGACATTTTTATCTAACATCCTGTATTACGTCTCAAGCATCGAGCATTTCCTGTTGTCTAATTAAAAAATAAACCGATTTCTATTAAGTCTAGACTTTTGAAAGTAGTTCAACATTCTAATATTCAAATAGCCTTGTTAAATAATTAATTTCACAGTTTGAATGTTAGCAATTTATAATATTGTGAAAGAAGTGTATCATAAACAAGTAATAGAAAAAAAAGTAAGAAATGGATTCTAAGTTGTTTGCTTGGGTACCCCTGACCCATTTATATATCTACCGTGAAACAGTTGTGTTTCTATAGGTGTGCTTCGTTTTGAAGGATGGGATATGGTAGTGAATTTATAGGGTATAGAGGAATAACACTTGAGTTTTTAGGAATGGCAATACATGGAGGGGTGGGGGGGGGGTATCATGGGCGAAACAGTATACTCTGTTATGTCCATGGTACTGCTCATGTCTATAGGCGACGGTTTCCACTTTCCTTCAGGTGGGCCGTCAGCTTGTTTGTCATTCTTTTCATTTAAGAGTTTCCTCTTGTCGGTGCAACTAATTCATGCATCTTCCTCCAGCCAGCTCTATCCCAGGCCATATCCTTTATCTCCCTATACGACATGACGCCTAGTGTTTCCTTTATCTGTCCCATGTAGTTATTCCTCGGTCTTCCTCTTTTGACCCCTATCTTTCCTTCTACTATGCTCTTAAAAAAACCGTCAAGTCGTATAAGGTGGCCCAGCATTTTGCCTCTTCTATTCTTTTTCATTTCTATTGTTTGTTATTAAATTGCATAAAAAAAATTGTACATACGTTTAAAAAAATAGAAACTCATAATCGAATATCAATGTTTTTTTGTGTTTATTTAAATAATAAACCATTACAACTAATCATTATAATAACAATATTCTAATAATACGTCTCATTTTTAATTTATTAAACGACCTTGACATTGTTCATGTATGTACTGAGCATTGGGTTAGTTATGTACTTGGCATAGCTGTAATTATGCAATTTGTATGCATCTAGACAGGATTTTTAGCTTGAATACATTTCATTTTATTACAATTCGCGTCACGTTTTCAATTTAATACACAAACAAAGGCGCAAAAAATAGCAACAATTTGATTTTGTAATTGTTTTGCTAAGTACATGTCACATTTGATGTTATTCTACGTGATGTACATTTTAAAACGATTTTGTCGCCCTTCTTTGGTGCCTAAGTCCTATAGAATGATATCATATATAATAAATTCGCTTGATAACTAATATATTATGCCATAACTAAGAATTGGTCACAATTGACCGCAGTCAAACTTGACTCCAAATAATAGTGTAGATTATACAATAGTTTTGGTACTAAAATTACACATTGTTGTTACCAAATAAAAAGTAGCAAGTCTATAAACCGTATTTCCATTAGCCGTATGGTCCCAGTATAGAATAGGCCACCCCTTCCTATCCCATGGGTGTCGTAAGAGGCAACTAAGGGAAATTAATAGTCGAGGGATGGGATGCATCCATCTTAATACATTACCAAAGCCTAACTGTGGTTTCCAATTCGCATGCAAAGCGTGACAACTAGTGGCAAAACCCCCCTAAGGGGGAGGCATCTCTAATTATAACGTTCATAAAAATTGGCGGTTTCTTTTATATAGATATATGCTAATATTATATGTTAAGGGGAAAAAGATTGTCTTTTTTTCTCTCTTATCTCACACAGTTACTCCACTAGCGTGGGCACGGTTACCGTTCTATTTTCATTTATTAAAAAAATACTACTTGTTAAAGTCCCCTGAAAAGTAAATATTATTAAGTACTCAATCTTATAATAAATAGTTTAGATATATTAATATTATAGTAATTATTAGTAATATACATTCATAGTAAGCAATTACTCATCATGCCACCTGTCAGTGAGTAATTAATTTGTTTCTGCATGTATGCGTAGAGAATAGATAGAATCAGTGATCAAATGGTCCGTTGTGGTGGTTAAAATGAGGCCAAAGACGATAGATGTACAGAGATAATTATGTTTATATACATATAATATATCTATACTATAATATTATAAAGCTGATGGGTTTGTTTGTTTGAACGCGCTAATCTCAGGTACTACTGATTCGAATTGACTACATCATGCTGCGAAAATTCTATTTTATAATTCTGTCCACTGCTGAACATAAGCCTTCCCCTCGATGGGTTTTGCCAATAGTTGCACATGCTTGGCAGGCGGATTGGCAACCGCAGTTAGGCTTTAGTGATGTTTTAAGAGAGACGCTGTTACCTATCCCTCGCCCTCCCTTAGTCGCCTCTTACGACGCCCACGGGAAAGGAAGGCGTGGCCTATTGTATGGTGATACCACACAGCCGTGCAATTTAATAAAAGTAATTAATTAATAGTGCGCCACCTACCCTTTGTTTTTCTTTCTTTTCTCAATGTCCTCTACTCAAAGGTTGTCTGGAAGAGACTGCTTAGCGATAAGGCCGCCTTTTGTATAATTTCCTATTACAGTTAAATGTATTTACTATTTTATAAATGGTGCAATAAAGTGTAAATAAATAATAATGCAGCCATGTTTTTTTTTTTTATTTAGATATTTGGATACTTATTTTAATTATTCAGTCATCGGACTATGTGATCATGATGCAGTATAATAATGTTAATTTGCTCACATTATTATTCATAATCTTTGATTTCCATTTACATATGTTGTAGCTTCAACTTGTATTTCTAGATATAAATATTCATAACCACATACTATGAATACTAAATAATTAAATATAATTTATTAAGTATATAATTAAATCACGTGAAAGTTTTCTGGTAATAACATATCTTCCGAACCGATACGACATCGCAACCTTCAAGAAAAGAGCATATTCCTTTTTAAAAGGCCGCCAGCACACCTGCAATTCCGCTGGTGTTGTGGGTGATCGTGAGTGGCAGTAGTCACCATATACCATCAGGTGAGCTGCATGCTCGTTTGCCCCCTGTATTGTAAAAAAAATCTATTTCATATTCTTTGCTATAGACATAATTAGTTCTAAATCGTAGTAATATAATAAAATTGTAACTAGAGGATGTCTATACATAGAAGATGTTTAAAAAAAATTTACACGAGTATCTTAAAAAGAGCTATAGAGACACCAATACAATAATTTTTAGAAATGTTGTCTATATATATGTTTATTCCGGCATCATGCAAAAACTACTGCATCAAATTAGATGCAGTTTTCACAGTTGTGTTCCTGCAGGTTTTACTTAAATACTGGTGTATGTTTCTTCAAGAAATGCCATTTAGAATTGGTCTATTTAATTGTTTTTCTGCTTCTGTAATTCATGCGTATAAAGGAGTCTGCAGAAGCTTGTTTTTAATATTAAATATACTAAGCATATAACTGATTAGTACGTGAGTAAAGCAAACTATAAAAATAAGCTAAAACTGCATAGATAATACAGACCGTTAGTACTTTTGCGTCATTCTTCTATGTCCTGCTTTGATTCTCTCTGCTTACATCCTACCTAATTAATTGATTTAACATGAATTTATAGGGAGGGAAAAAGGGAAAGGGCCTGTTAATAATGCCAACTACCATTCCCATTGCTAGCAATATACCGCTAGCTATACACACAACTAAAATTCTTTTGATGACAAATTAGAACAGTAGATTAAAGAAAATAAGGTAAAAAAATACCTACGACTGAAGCAAAAAGTACAATTCAAAGGCAAAAGAAAAAAAAAAATAAAGAGAAAAAAGAAAGTTGAAAGTTATTTGAAAAAAATATGTTACAAGTTTATTAAGAAGTGAACTCGTGGCCTATATTTAAATGTAGAATTGTTTTTATTAGGTGATGCTCAAAGTATTTCGTGGTATTTGCAGTTTCCTTTTAACTTAACAGTTGACATATTCATGTAATTATATGTACGTGTAATATTATATTAAAATGTACCTAGCAACATTAAGATAACCTTAAAACATATAAAAATCTCTGACAAAAATAAACTTAATGTCATGCACATGAAAACATACATTTGTAATCATTAGATAAGTTCGAATACATAACGCAAATTATGCGATGATGTGAGCTGAATTTTTAACAACATAAGCTTGAAGTATTTTTTGACAAATTGTTATTTAAATTTAATGACTTAACTACGTACATTTATTGCCACAACATTCTGCATTTTGTTTATAATCAATGATTACTTGCACTGTAATCAGAATGTCGGAAATATTTCTTTTTATCAAAATAAAACCTCGCTCTAGTTCGAACTGCCTTACTATCCGATAGTTGAATATTCTTCAAATAATTATATTCATGAGTATTTATGTTTGTATTGTTAAAATAATTTTTATGTATTTAGAAAAAAATATTTAAATAATAATACTAAATAATTACTCAAAGTTTTTACTAAATCTGGAACTAGATGGCATTGTGTGATACGTCAAGGCCTATATATTATTTATTTTTATTATTATTTCCCAGGTGTCAACCCCAGTGCATCTTCCCGTAGGCTCCTGGGTACTCCGAGTCGTTACCAGGTTGAAGAACTCTCCCGCACGCCAGATATACGACTTTGATCAGGACCTGTACATTCTATTCAATCCTTGGAATCCCGGTGAGTTCCGGAATAGAAAATCCTATGGTTTATATTTTTTTTTAATAACAAAAAGGCTAAAACAAAGAATAGCAATTCATAAAGTGTATCATGGTCCTCACAGTATTTTCTATGATAGCCAACGAATTTCTTATGACTATAAATGACTAATTCCAATCTCGTGGGTACATTCCCATTTGTATAAAAATAGTTCTTATACTTAGGGTGCATTTCTTTTTTATCGGCAAGGAACTGTTTATAAAATGGTTTCTGTTTCTATTTTAATGTTTTTTTTTTTAATAAAATTCTGCCTGCTGGCGTATGTTTTTTTATCTATATATATTCATCTATTTTTACAATTTTTTTTTTTTTATAATAAATATACACGTTGACAAAGGTAGTTTATTTTGAACACCAACCTCCCTTGTCGCAGATTTTATTTTATTAATGTAAGCAAATGTATAGACAAACTTAATTCTACAAGAGTTCTCTATCAGCAAACCTAAAGTGGAAAGGAGTATCAAAGCGAATAGAGCGGTGTAAAATATTGTGACAAATATATACATACATACATATATATATATATACATATATACATACATATTTATTTATATGTTTGTAATATGCATGTATGTATATATACGCTTTCAAAGTTATATGCTTTATCAATTAATACTGGTTAATTATTTGCAGATGACCAAACCTACATGGAGGACTGCAGTCTTCTCCAGGAATATGTCTTGAACGACGTTGGCAAAGTATGGGTGGGACCCATCAAAACAACCAGGGGCAAGCCGTGGGTGTACGGACAATTCGACGCGGTTGTACTGCCGGCTTGCATGTTCATGTTGGACAGAGCTGAAATGCCGTTCCACCAGTGAGTTTATATATTCTATTACAAGGAAGGTTCTTTAAAATAATATAAGAAAAGTAGGTATTCTCATGACTGGATAAGATCTAAGAGTAAACTACACAAGTTCTATAAATGTTGAAATACTAATTTTCCTTGTTATTTGGTAGATTCAAATTTTTTAAGCTGTTTGTGTATGTATACAAATGTATGACAGCGGGATTACTATTTTTTTAATTAATGATAATGGAATGGTAACTCCGCCTGTGCTAACGCTATATTATAGCTGGGCACCAGTGAAGGATGATAGATAAGAATGAAAAGGCAGGTCAGTTAGCCCACCGTGATGAATACATCCGGAATGCATCACGATGATTTCCATGATGATCACGTGGAGGACGTGATAACGGATGAGACTGCTAGTCTGCATTACTAACAATCCTTTTCCCCCCAGCGGAATTATTAAGTGTTCTTTAAGAGCACATATTTATTTATTTATTATGCAATTTATTTATTTATTATAGATTTTATTTTAAAAATACATAAACAAAAGGTGGATGGATCACTGATCACTGATCACTGGTGGCACTTTCCACCAGATGAGCCATCTGCTCCGTCAGCTTACTTATCATGGTATATCCAACAAATATTCCTTTTTTTCTTAGGCGTGGGGACCCTGTCAAATTGACTCGTGTTATCTCCCGCATTGTGAACTCCAATGACGACGCTGGCGTTTTGGTCGGCCGATGGGACGGGCAGTACGAAGATGGCACAGCGCCGTCGGAGTGGACCAGTTCTGTTGATATACTGCAGCAGTACTTGGAGACGCAGCAAGAAGTGCCGTACGGCCAGTGTTGGGTGTTCGCTGGTGTAGTGACTACAGGTCAGTGGGTGAAGATTCTGCAATTCCTTACTGATAATCATGAATCTGAAAATGTATATTGCTAGCAATGAGATTGGTAGTTTGTATTACTAATAATCCCCCCTCCCCGACGACCTCCGGTCGTTTGTCACGTCGCTTGTCATAAACTAGGTCCCGATATCAATTACTGGTTGATCAATTCACAATTTTTTTTTAATTTGGCTAAGGTCTCAGTACCCCAGAGGTACAAGCCAGAACATTTGGATGTTTGTTGCATGAGTCCTTATAACACACCCTGTGTTGGGGATCAGGTAATTGGTATGAATGTGTGGCATTTATTGCGATTTGCTTTCTAATGAAGTGTTTTTTCTTTATTATTTATCTTCATGTCATGTCAATTGCCTTATGAGGTAGGCAGACAGAATCGACAGTCAAAGGCTTCATCTGTTACTTATAACATTTGCTACATCTGCTTTCAAAAAACATCTTATACTTACATGTCAAGTTTAGTAACTATTAATATTATAATTATATTAGACGGAATACTGTGCGATACATGAGATACTTAAATGCTTATTTTAAATACACTATCGGGACTTAACGCATGTTGTAATATATATGTAAATGTTATTACACGTAAATAGTACTTAGATACCTACTTCTTTATTGCCAACGTTTATGTAGATATTTATTTATGATATGACAACTTAAAAACATATTTTTGAAACATCAAAATAAATTTTGGGAATAAGATTTTAAAGTCTAATTTATTTTATAACAGTTTGCCGCGCTCTCGGCATCCCATCGCGCGTGGTCTCCAACCTCGTATCAGCGCACGATGCCAATAGTTCCCTGACAGTTGACAAATACTACACGGAGAACATGGAAGAGATGGACTTCGACCCTAACAATCCTCAAGGCGCTGACTCCATCTGGAACTACCATGTGTGGAACGATGTCTGGATGGCCAGGCCTGATCTTCCGCAAGGTAATTTTCTACTATAATATTATTAAAATTGTTTATTGATAATAAACATTTTCGTTTCAATCAGTTATATTCTATTGAAGAACATTATCTACGCTTCGTAATCTGTGTCACTAAAATCTGAAATCTGAAATTCTGAAATCTTTGAAGTACACACAGAAGTGGCAGGTTTCGAGGCTCTCGAGCATTATTTATTTACTTGTTATCTTCATTCCCTTTTTAAATTCCCATGCCTAAATTTTAATATATCTTTATGTTACAAATATATGATCCCAACTGGATCAGATCTAGTTCCTCTTTTATTGTCATTACCATGAATGGACCACATTATTGGTTCTGCAATAACAACTCTTCTGTTATACTTCTACTGATAGTATATTTATGTCTTATCATCTTCTATTTTACTAAGAAATAAAACTTTATTTCCTAGTTTATCAATGAAAATTATACTTAGGCTTTTGTCTTCCTTAGCATATTCTATTAAAATATTGCATTCTAAAAGTTTGGTCTGTTAATCTCATAAAAATACTCTTATAAATGTTAGTCTTTTAACTTTTTTTACCTTAAACATCTTTACACCACATCTCTTGCTATTGTTATATCTCGTTTTGGAATATTCTATTTCAGGTTATGGTGGCTGGCAAGCAATTGATGCAACCCCTCAAGAGACGTCGTCAGGTCTATACCAGTGTGGCCCGGCTTCCTTGGAAGCTATTAAGCAAGGAGTCATCGGTGTGGCCCACGATGTGGAATTCATGCTGGCGTCCGTCAACGCTGATCTGATGCGGTGGAGAATTGATTCCGACACCGAATCTGGCTTCTCAGTGGTTGACACTAATAATTATCAGTAAGTTTTTACTTCATAAGAAGGGAAATAGGATTCCATGAACTTAGGTTTCCCGGTTACTATAAGGCCCATAGGAGTAACTTCTTATAAGTGAAGACAATATGTTGGGTCTTGTTTACACTTATGTACTAATAGATCAGTCAGGACATTCACAATTGTAATGCTTTGGAAAGAGTATGTAAGTAAAGAATATCCTGGGACTAAATATTGTAGTGGAAATCACTGTAAAATTTCGAATAAATTCTTAGTTCTCAGGAGTAGGCAATAATGTAGTTGGTTATCCTATCTAATGATGACATTTGAATATACAAACAATATGATAAATATAATTAAAAAAATGGCCCTGTGGTTCCGGCATAGAATAGGCTACCCCTTCCTTTCCCATGAGTGTCGTAAGAGGCGACTAAGAAAAGGTGAGGGAAGGGCAACAGAGTCTCTCTTAAAACAACTCTAAAGCCTAAGTTTGGTCTCTAATCTGCCTGTCAAGCGTGGAGTTGCCACTGGATAAACCTCCCAAGGAGGAGGCTTATGTTCGGCAGTGGGCAAATAAAAGCTGATATGATTAATGAAAAGAAAATACTTCATGTAGACTGTTGAACTTCAAAAATATTGGTAATATATCTGAGGTTACGGAGAATATAATAATCAACAAATATTTTGCTTACAGCATCGGCAGAATGATTTTGACGAAAAAACCATTCGTCTTTGATCCCATTGGTGATGAGGACCGGGAGAACATAATCGACCAGTACAAGTATAGAGAAGGCACCGCCTCTGAACGGCTGGCACTTATGAACGGTGTGCGGTACTCGGAGAGGGCTAAGAGGTTAGTAAGAATGAGAGCATAATTTGTAAATTATGATGAATGGCTTTGTGGTATAGTTGTCGGTACGTTAATTTGCATGAATAGGGTTAAAGCCAAGCATAAGTCTAGTGATTGTCAGTAAGACGCTGTTTTATTCTACTCTTCAAACCGGAATACAGCCATGCAAGTATAGCTGCTTGAACACAACACATGAGTAGTTGGGAGGAAATGAATTGTTAGTAATGTGGATTTACCAGCTCCATTACTAGCAATATAGCCCTATATATTGCTCTAGCGATAAGACCGCCTTTTGTACGTTTATGTGTATATTTCAATCTGTATTTATGTTACTGTATTTCACTTGAATTATTCACTTGTCATTGTATATTTTTATTTATGGTACAATAGAGAATTAAATAAATAAATAAATATACCCTATTAGGGCGACCTACACCCAGTCCCTCTGAAAACCATTGTGATTAAATTCGTCACAATGGGCCAACCGACCTGCTTTCAACCTCTCCTATCATCTCTCACTGGTGTCCCGCCAGTGTATGCCGATAGCGCAGGCGGGGTTACTATGCCATTTTCACCCATAAAAAAAACACACGAGTAGTTTAAATAACTGATATTATAAATATAAGTTATTATAATGTTAATTTAACATTCTCAGATACTACTCCGTAGCCAGCAACCTGTCAAGTGACGTGTCATTCAAACTACGGGAGCTGGACAGTGTACCAATCGGGAAAGACTTTAGAGTCACTGTCGATATTGAAAATAAATCGGATCAGGTATGTTGAACTATTGATATACTTGTACTTGGTTAATTAATGTTCAATTCTACAGTACTAGTCGAGTTGTAATTTAAAATTGGGTTTAATAGAACATCATCTGATTTTTAATTTGTATTATATTTAGCAGTAATTACAGACAAATAATATGATTGTTACTCGGTCATCTTTAGGTCCAGAGTAATTATTTTTTCCAACAGACTATTCCGGACAGACTTGTACTGACCGAAATACTAAGATCAGACAAATATAAAAGAAACTGCCTTACTATGTGCGTTCATATATATAATAAAATTCCAAATGAATTTAAAGATTTGAATGTCACTTTATTTGGGAAAATATTATATAACTGGCTAAAGGAACAGAATTTTTATGATTTAAAAGATTTCCTTGGTAGACGTTTTTGACATTTAGTATTAACAAAAATGTTGTATATCTAACAATGATTGATAATAGGAAACTTAATTTGCATGCTATATGATTTTAGCAAAACATGTACAGTCTTAAATATAATTATAACATCACTGTATACCATGTTTAAAGCAAATAAATAAATATTATTATTTTTATGACATTATCCGTTAACTTCTCGCTGCTGAATATAGACTTCCCCGTCTTGGGAGGTTTTGCTGGTAGTTGCCATGCTTGGTAGACAGGTTTGCAACCGCAGTTAGGTTTTGGTGGTGTTTTAATAGGGATGACTGCTGCCTATCCATCGACCATTATAATTCCTTAGACGCTTCTTTCGACACCTACCGACTGAAAAGGGTAGAACGTAGGTCACATGTCATAGAATTGTCAACAGGCTATAACCAGGACAATATACCTGCTAGTAATATTGCTAGTATCAAAAATTAGTTAAATTAGTCCTAATTTTTTTTATACGACTTAGAATGGCAAATAAGCTGACGGCCCACCTGATGGAAAGTGGTAACCGTCGCCTATAGACACGAGCAGTACCATGGACATAAAAGAGTATACAGATTCGCCCATGATACCCCCTATGCATTGCCATTCCTGAGGTGTTATTCCTCTGTACCCTGTAAATTCACGCCATATTCCACCCTTCAAACCGAAACACAGCCATGCAAACACAACTGCTTCACGGTAGAAACACGAATGGGACAGAGGTACCCAAGCAAACGACTTTTGTACAAAGTCTCCCTCTGGTTAAAGGTTTTACAAGTCGTAACCAGAAGTTTCAAGTTGCTCAGCTAACTAGCAAAGAGCTATACTTTCAGTTTTATTGGATAATACAAGTATAGTACGGGGGAAGGGATTGTTAGTAATAGTCGTTATAATAGTAGTTATAATAGTAGTTAATCCCCATTTCTTTTAATATACCCTATCAGGTCGACCTCCACACGATGCCCCCTGGAAACTATCGTGACTAATTTATCGTTGTATTCCTCACGATGGGCTAACTGACCTGCCTTTTCATCCTCACCTATCACTTCTCACTGGTACCCCGCTAGTGTATACCGATAGCGCAGGCGGAGTTAACATGTCATTTTCACCCATTAAAAAAAATACAGGTATAATTTGAAACTGGAATATCCGCATAAGATTAAAAATACAATGGATAGACATAGCACGATGGATAAGCAATCTGACGACAAAGCGATGATTCGGAGATATAGCCCGAAAAATTGACAACTGTTAGGAAGGATTATTCTTGAGTGTTGACCTCGAAATCTAGTGGCAGATGGGGGATTTTAGATGTCAGTATATAGCGGGAAGTCAGTGACTACAGGTTGCTCAGGGCCGTTTCTTATGATAGTTAATGGGGAAGGCATCAGAAGGATAATTGACGACAGAAATGATAATAAATCCTTGAAATATAAAACTCTAATTTGGAGACTGTTGATCGAAAATTCTCTCTTGTAGTTTTGAAAAAAAGAAAAAATTATAAGTTAAAAGTTGCCAAAACATTTTCATTTATCTCCACTCCTTAAAAATGGGTTGAGATTCTGACATCTGTCAAAATCAAAGGAGGATCAGAACCTTCTGGTCCTCCTTTTTCGAACTTACATATTTAATGGATTTTGCCCTTTATGGTTTTTATTACTGTATTAACTTGGTAATAAATGACAAGGACTTGTTTAATACTTATTGGTTTAATTATAGAGACCGAGATTAGAACAATGGTGACGACATATATATTGAGAGAGGACGCGACAATAGTGATGCGCCGTTCTATTAGTGATGTAACCTTAACTACATACACTTTACTTACTTTTATTTAACTACTTTACTTTACTTAGGTACAAATGTAAATATTTCAGGGTCGCAATGTAAAGGCATCTCTATCAGCCACCAGTGTGTTCTACAACGGCGTGCGAGCCGATGTGGTTAAGAAAGTTGAGGGAAAGATCTTCGTCGCACCTAATAAGAGTAAGTTACGTTTATCTACATATACTAATATTATATAAAAAATATTAGTAAGACTTGTTTTTTTGTATCTTTGTTCGTTTGTTTTTAATGGATAAACTAAAAAGCTACCCAACCGATTTTAAAAATACTTTCACTTATAGACTTTATCACCTTTGAGACTGGAGACTTTGGACAAAAGTCGTTTGCTTAGGCACCTTTGTCCCATTCGTGTTTCTACCGTGAAGCAACTGTTTGCATGACTGTGTTTCGGTTTGAAGGGTGGGATATGGCTGTGAATTTACAGGGTGCAGAGAAATAACACCTGAGTCCTCAGGAATGACAACGCATGAGAGGTATCATGAGCGAAACAGTTTATTCTGGTATGTCCATGGTAGTGCTCATGTCTATAGGCGACGGTTACCACTTTCCATGAGGTGGTTTCGTTTTGACGTGGACTGCACACGTCACTTGACCACGACGTGGTACAGTGCACTTCAAAATGTCGGCAATAAAAAAGCAGCTATGTAGGTATTATTATAGAATAAGTATTAGTTATTATTCATAAATTTGTAGCGCATCGATTATAATGGACAAAAATATAACATCAGGTATAGAAACACGTACACAGAAACGTTTACAAAACAAAACAATTAGCGCATTGGAGAAACAAATAGAGGAAAAGGATGACAGTATTAGAACATATGAAAAATTAATATGCAATATTGATAGGAAATTGAAAGACAAAGAAAGATTAATATTAACATTGGAAGATGAATATGAACAAAACAGTTTAGAATTTGAAAAATTATGCAAAGAAAACCAACTTTTAAAAAAACACTTAGCAGAAAAGGAAGCCTTCATTATAGACTTACAAAATGATCTAATAACTATGGAAACAGTGAACAGTAAAGTTAATGAAGATTATGAAGAAGTCATAAATCTAAATAACAACATTATGACTCCTTACAAAAAACAATTAAATGAAATTAACATGGAAAATAGATTGCTACAGGTAAAATTAAATCAAATTACGGACGAATACAATAATGTTAGGACAATTTTGGAATCGAAAAACTACTCAAGTGTAAACATTAAAGGTAGTAGTGTATACAAGAATAGAAAACTGTTTAAAAAAATTGGACAACAGAATAAAAAAATTAAAAAACTACAAAAGGAATATACACAATTACAACGAGAAACATGTCAACCAATTGAAATACACAATTCGAAAATGAATTACAGAAATTATCTGACAAAACCGTCTAAAACCACAGAAAATGATAATAATAAAATAAAAACCATAGAAAAGTCATGTCAGGAAAAAGGGAAAATTTTAATATTTTCTGGCAAAACGGGAAAAGGACTAGGAGAGTATTTCAAGCGAATCTGTTATAGATACAATAGCGTTACTAACATATGTAAGCCGTTTGCTGGTCCCGATAAAATATTAGAAAATTATTCGACGCATGTCTCCGGATTTGGAAAAAATGATCTAGTTATTATATTTATTGATGAATACAGTCAGAAACAAACTATGAATATATATCCTCAACTATTAAGTAAAATTTTGAACACTGACCGCTCTCGGGAATATGAATTGCTAATAATGAGTATAAAATACGATAAGCGCAATGATTATGAAATATACGATATCAACAAGCAGTTACATAGTTTAGCTATAAACTATAATAAAATAAAATATTTCGAATCAAATGACATTTATAGAGGTGTTATTCTTCAAAAAGAGAAACGCCTAGCAATTTCTCAGATGATTAATAATAAATTTCATAATTCATCTTCATTTACCTTCCCTACATATAGTAATGAAAATTGTAAAACATCACACCAAAATTTTATAAAACAGACGTCTCGAGAGATGAAGAAATGACAATTTTGCATTCTAATGTACAATGTATGAATAATAAAATAGAAGACATAGAATTGTTGACATCAACATTTAAATGTGATATCTTGTGCTTAAGTGAAACTTGGGTAACAGAATTGCAAATTAATATTATACATATTAATAACTTTCAATTAGGATCTTATTTTTGTAGAACGAATAACAAACATGGCGGTGTTGCTATTTATGTAAAAAATGGAATAAAATATCGTGTTCGTAATGATATAGGACGAATGTCAGAAGAATTACATTGTGAAATAACTGCAATCGAGTTAAAGTTGTCACGCATTATTATAATTTGTGTATATAGAGCAAATTATGATATGAATATATTTTATGACACCATCTCTAAACTTTTAAATAAAATTTGTAAAGAAAATAAAGACATAATTTTGACTGGTGACTTCAATTTAGATTTTCAAAATAACAATAAATACCTAAAAGATTTTAAAGTTGTATTAAATAATTTCAATATGAAGTATATTCTTATCAAAGAGCCTACTCGTATTACAGATTGTACTGAATCCTGTATAGACAATTTTATAACTAATTTTAAGGACAAATCCGTTAGAGGCTTAGTATTAGATTATAAGATATCAGACCACAATGTTATTCGACTTAGTTATGCGTATAAAACTAGGCATGCAAGTAAAAAGGATGTTCAAAACTATATTATTAGACGACACTTTTCTAAAAGTAACTGTAATTATTTCCATCACTTAATTAATATTGACAAATTTTTCCATTATGATATATCTAAATGTAATGACCCAAATAAAAAGGCTGAAACTTTTGTACTTGGACTAAAATATTTCTATGACATTGCCTTTCCAAAAAAGAAAACTTACGTAGTTAAAAATCAACCAGTATGGGAAACAAAAGGAATACTGAAATCTAGGGATACTCTAAATAAACTTGAATTTCTACAATGTGTTCTTCCTTCTGAAAAACGTAAACAAAGAATTCATAAATTTAAAAAATGTTTAAAAAAAGTAATGATTACTGCAAAAAGAATACAAATCTCATACAATATTAAAAATTCTAAAAATAAAGTAAAAGAGTGTTGGAATACCATATCCAGATTAATAAATAAGACAAATCGACTAACACGTAATATAAACAAAATTAAAACACAAACTGGAACAATAATAACAAACCCAAACTTGATTGCAAATTTTTTTAACAGTTATTATTGTAATATTGGTAAAGAACTAAGCGATAAAATAAAAACGGATAAAAATAAAAACTATGAACTTTTATCAAGAACAAAAAAGCCAGATAAAACGATAATATTTAAAAGAATTACTCGAGACGAATTGTTAAAAATTATGCGTTCTATAAAAAATAAAAAATCTAGAGATATATATGACATGGATTACAAGATATTGGAACTTATATTCAATAATGATAAATTAATTTACTTATTACTTGATGTTGTTAATTCCTGCATTGACAACGGAACTTTTCCAGATGTTTTTAAATGTGGTAAAATTATCCCTATATTTAAAAAAGGTGACGCTGAGGACCCCTCCAATTATCGTCCAATATGTATTCTGCCAGTCTTATCTAAAATTATGGAGATAATATTAAAGAAAAGTATAGTAAGACACTTTGAGGAAAACAATCTTTTTACTGACAAACAATATGGCTTTAGAACAGGAAGGTCCACCACAATGGCAATTACAAAAACTATGGAATTTATATTGGAGTCTTTGGATAGGTCCATGAAATGTGTAAGCGTATTTTGTGATCTTACCAAAGCTTTTGATTGTTTAAGGCACGACATAATATTGAGCAAATTACAATACTATGGATTTGAACATAAATCACTAAAAATGATGCAGTCATACTTAAATAATAGGACACAAGTAGTAACATTAAATGATAATACTATATCCCACATACATAAAATTAATATAGGCATTCCTCAAGGTTCCATACTTGGACCAATTCTTTTTCTTATTTACATTAATGATCTTCCGGCAAATTTACCAGAGGAAGCATTTGTGACTCTATTTGCTGATGATACACATGTAGGATTAAGAAATAAATATAGAAATAAATTGAATAGAATGATGGATAACATCATAAATTTATTAGATGTTTGGTTTCAAGCCAATGGCATTATACTAAATACAGCGAAAAATGTTTTTATGTCTTACAGTACCCGTAAGAATAAAAAATCACCTCCAAACAATGTTTATAGTCAGAGTACAACATTTTTAGGATATACGATAGATAGTACAGTTAGCCATGAATCGCATATTGAAAAATTATGTAGTAAACTAGCATCCGCCAATTATGCCTTGAGTAAACTTAAGCAACTAATAACAAAAAAGCTCTGAGAATGGTGTACTTTGCATATGTTCAGTCGTTGTTATCATACGGTATTACAATTTGGGGCAATGCAGCTCTCGTGTTAAAAGTTTTAAGGCAACAAAAGCGAGCTATGAGGATTTTATGCGGAATTCATAAACGCACCTCAGTTAGACCTCACTTTATCCAACAACGTATAATGACAGTGTCATCGTTGTTCATATATAATTCTTTACTTGAAATATATGATAAAGGAGGTACTCTTCGCAAAAATTCAGCCATTCATAGTTACGCCACGAGAAATAAAGACAAATTGGAATTGCCAAGAACACGACTAACAAAAACTATGAAACAAGGCATATATCTAAAAATAAAAATGTACAATAAATTACCCAATACAGCAACGCAATTGCCGCGAAATGAATTTAAAAATAAAATAAAGACATATTTTGAAGAACATCCTTTTTACAACGTGACCGAATACCTAAATGCCAATATTGAATTATAGCATTATTATTTATTTAGGTTTAACTGTAAGGAGTGTGACAATAAAAATTTTATAACTTGAAATCATCATTATTGTTATATGGTTACCTTTATATTGACATGTAGTAACTAATTTATAATGTTAACTATAATTCATTTGTAATTTTATTTTATAATTTAAATCTTATTGTTATTATTTATTTTATTAATTTCAAAATTATAATGTAAATATTGACTTGCCATTGTGTGACGAAAATTGTTACATTGGTTAATAAAGAAATATGAAATATGAAATATATTTACCTGTAGCTTTTTCATCGCATTAAGTCCCGATTGTGTACTTAAAATAATATATAAACTATCAATAATTGACAGGTGAACAAATAAGCATATTGGTGACGGCAAGTGACTACCTGCCGAAGCTGGTGGAGTACTGCAACATGAAGATATCAGCGATGGTGATCGTGGAAGAGACCAAGCAGTCATGGGCTGATGACGATGACTTCCAAATTCTAAAGCCCAACATTAACATCAAGGTTACTATACTATATATATATTACATCAAGGTATATTACTATACTAACTGAGCAAACGTTGGTGTACCTCCTATCGCCATCTAGCGGGTCCATTTTTCTTATCGGGATAAGAACTATCCTACTTCTCAAGTTGAAGTTACAAACTTCATTAAAATCGGTTTAGCGGTTTCGAAGATTGGCGTGAATGGACGAAATTATACATATTTAAAGAGGTTTCTTCAAGGTCGGCAACGCACGCGTAATACCTCTGGTATTGCAGGTGTTCATAGGCTACGGTAACCACTTACCATTAGGTGGGCCGTATGCTTGTTTGCCACTTCAGTGGTATAAAAAAACCGTATTGTGTGTCACAAAAAAAAACTTTTTTTGTGACTTTAACTGTGACAAAACTAATAATTTTAGTATAAAAATTAAACTACTATAAATATACTATATAAGAATATATTTATAGTAGAAAAAAGCATATTCCATTTTAAAAGGCCGGCAACACATTTGTAAATTCTCTATTGTTGTCAGGCTAAGTCGAAGCTCGGATATTTAACAAATATTCAGTTACTCGAGTATTTATCCGTGTTCTCAGACTGGAGTTACGATTCGATTTTTTTAACAAGTATCAAGATACTCGAATATTCTATCAATCTATCAATCCTTTATTTATTTATTTCATACTTTATTGTACATACTAATTATACATAACAAATATGACAGAAGTAATGAAACTTTAAAACAGTTCTTTTCCAGCAAACCCAAAGTGGAAAGGAGCATCAATAGCTGAATATCTTCTCGTAGTATACTGTAAAATAATAATCATTTCAGTTTAACGAAGATCTGGTACTCGGCCAGCCAACCACAGCGATACTGTCCTTCACAAACCCATTAGAAGAGGCCCTGACCGGCTGCGAGTTCAGGGTGACCTCCACTGGTATTGTGGGCCGTACACTCCGCCTACCCGCCGCTGATGTAGCTCCCCATGGTCTGTTAACTGCTGAACTACCAGTACAGCCCAACGTAAGTAGCTTTTACAACGAGTTAAATTTTTTTATGATCTTGTGTTATTTGATAGTTTGTATTCCAACAAATTCAATTTTTTATTAGAATTACCAGAAGCAATCTGCTTTACTTCTGTCCTGCTTGTATTTTTTCTATAAAACAGGATGCTTAGCTATGTTTCAATTTGAAAGGTACGATATGGCAGTGAAATTACAGGGTACAAAAGCACAACATTCTATTGGTAAAGGTATTGTTAGCAATGGGGTCTAATAGTCCCATCGTTAGCAATATTCTCTATCAGGCCGATCTCCATGCAGTTCCAGTTTCTCCTGGAAATAATCGAAGTTAAATCTTCTGGAATTCGTCACGAAGGGCCAACTAGCCTGCGGTCATCCTCACCTATCGTCTCTCATTGTATTCCGCCAGTTTATACTGATAGCACAAGCGGGGTTACCATTCAATTATCAACCATTAAAAAAAAAGCCTAATTCTCAAGAATGGCAATACATGAGTGGTACCATGAATATCGCAGTGTACTAATTCTATGCTGTCCATGATGCTGTTTTTGTTCGTAAGCGACGGCTACCCCTTTCCGTGATTGTTATAATTAATTTTATTTATAAAGTAAGCAGTGGAGGATTTACACATTTGCCGCCAGTAGGCTATTCAAATGTTGCTACCCTTCCGACCTCTACAATTCAGTACCTCAGTTCCAAATTGTCCTAATTAAAATTTTTACTAAATAAAATTGTGCCTTTTGGCTTCAAATTTATGCAGCCTGCTGGTAAATTTATCGCTTAATTACTGTATTTCACGTGAATTTTCTTTCATTGTTTATTTTTTATATTTTTAGTGTAATAAAGAGGTAAATAAATAAATTAAAGCATATTCATATCTTCTTTCACAGAAACTTGGCAAAATAAACATCGTGGCCACATTCAAATCGGTTCAACTGAAGGACATTAATGGTGCTGCTAGCGTAGACGTGTTTGAAGGATAAACGACTTTATATTCTGATGTAATAAGGTTCGAAACAAAATGAAAATCTATAAGGAATGTTATGATTATAATGAAACAAGCATTGTAGCCATTTCGGACATTTGAGGTGATATATTAACTCTTTATTAAGTATTCATTAAATACTGCCATGAATAGAAACAAAGCACATTTTGTACCAATTCATCTTCTCCAAGGATGCATTTTGCCCTCTACTTTTATATAATTAATTTACTATGAATTATATTTTCTGCGATAAAAAAAGAAAAATAATGAAGCCATTTATTTTTTGAGGTTAATATTAAATTTCATATTATAAATATTATTTTTGCTTGTATAAATATCACTAAAAACTATTTCCAAAAATCGCACATTATTAAATTTAAAAATTGTTTTTGCGATATGTATTTTTGTAGAAAAGAGATAAGAATAGTCCAGTGAAACTGGAAAAGAAGGTCATTTAATATTTATTTACTTACGTTTAAAGATAATACATTATATAATAAATACGTAAAATAAATCTTTCAATGAAAATAACATAAGTGTAGAAGTGCATTTATTTTGCACCTCTCACAATAAAAAGGAAAGTATTTTTTTAGAAGTTATTTTGCGTAATTAAGGAGATAGTTTTAAATTGCGTGCTCAATATGTGCCATAGACAAAAATTAACCTAATTATTTTTTATTATCGCACACTATTGTGGCGATCTTATTTAAAAAAAAACTCACCACAGATATATAATTTTTAAATGCACTACACTGCTCGCTTTATGATTTAAAAAAAAAGCACTATAGATAATAGTTATAAGCATATTATTATTGTATTTTTATAAATATGACATGTGTAGATGAGGCAACATTAATATTTGTCTAATTCTATGGACAATTCTCGACATACTTTTTTTATCTGTCAAAATTTATAGAAAGCACGGTAGTCCGCGGTAACTACCATCAGATCCCATCCTGATATAATGTGAAATTTAGTCCTTCACGAACACAAGTTATTATTATTATTGAAAGACGGGCTTCATCTGACAGAAAAATCGGTGACACTGCGACCTTTGCATGATCTTCTGAACAAAAGTTCCTCATCTATGCAAGTCCATAGATCTCTATTGTAGATAAAATTCTCATTATATATTTTTTTTTATTTTGTATACTCTCTATAATATAGGCCATATAAGCTTACGGTAGCTGTAACTTAAGATTAGTTTAAGTTCCATTACAAATGGAGATTTTATTGAAGAAAATAATAAATTGTACGTGTTGATTATAAAGTAATATTTTTAATATTTACATTTTATATAATAAACTGTTTTTTTATTAGTTATTGGTTTTATTAATATTTATAATAATTCCTAAAAAACAAAGACTATATTATCTAAGAGTTGCCAAATGGTCTCTAAACTGTGAAATTTTTAATATTATACGTTATCTAACATTACATACTGATCATAGAACCGAGGGTGGGAATGTAAGGTTAGGCGCTACCCTGATTAAGGGCCAAGCTCTTAGGGTAAAGCGTGATTGTTTTTCAGCGCTCTTTAGGCAACTTTCACTTCACGTCTTCTTGTATTATAAAATCTTTATTGTACATAGGTAATTCAAATTGAGCACTGATAAATGATTTAATATACAATGGCGGACTTATCCCATAAAGGGATCTCTTACAGTCAATCTTTGAGAAGCTGAAAGAAAACTATAGAATGTATAAGGGTAACCGTATAATTAAAGATAAACTTAATAATACCCAGTAAAAAATTGAATATATAATACAATAAAAACAGCTCTATATACGTACATATGTAAATAATAAAAGTACATGAATAATAATATAACATTAATACATAAATAAATAAAAACTTACACACATAAATACATATATATACATACATACACATATATACACATACCTACACACACTTCTTGTACTTTGGTTTTATGTTAACTTAATAAAATCGTCCAATTTTACAAAAATCAACTTTTATCGCAAACATCAATAGGTACCTATTAAATTTAAATTAAGTAGTTTAAAGTAAAAATTATTTTCCCCATTTTTTGGCGCCCTTAACATCTCGCTGTTAGAGCGATCACTTCTCGCTTTACTACAGGACTGGCGGTCACTCCTTATTAATATTATGCGAAAATGTTTTGTTTGTTTTTCACCTCATAGCCCCTTAACAGTTTTACCAATTCGAAGTACAAAAGGACACAGGCTACTTATCATCCCGGTCATGCCGACGAAGTCGCGTATTAAAACTAGTATTATTTACTTATTTTATAATGTAATTTTGGACTAAAATAAAACACAATTTAAAAACAAAACTTTAATTATCAATTCCATGTAGGGTTTACCATTTTCACTTACAACAACCATATGTTACTATTTTGTTCTAAAACACTAATACCGCAGACAAATCCACACCTGTGACTAATACAATATATATTTATTTTACCATTTCCCTAAACATATATATATGTACTTGACTTACCACCATATTTTTTCGATTTAATCTTTTGATTCATATTAGAATAGTAAGGTAATCAATCTTGTGTCAATTGCGAAGATTTTTCAAAATTTGTTATCATTGGAACATTTGATTTTCCGCGATGATATCGTGGACGTGCACGTAATCCATCTATACTTATAATAAATCTGTAGAGGTCAATTCTGTACATGAAATACATTCCCAAAATAACTATCAGGGGGTGATTAGTGATCGATACCAATGCCAAAAATGCAATTAGTAAATTTTTTGTCTGTCTGTCTGCATGTTCGTTATAGAAACAAAAACTACTAGACGGATTTTAACGAAACTTGATACAATTATTCTTCATACTTCTGGGCAGGTTATAGTATACTTTTCGTCACGCTACGATCAATAGGAGCAGAGCAGTGAAGGGAAATTTAGGGAAAACGGGAGAAGTTATTCCATTTTTAAGCTTCCGTCGCGTGTGCAGCCTTAATGGCCACTTTTTAAAATGTAAAAATGTCCACCCGTGCGACGCCGGGACAGGCGGCTAATTCTAAAATAGATTTCGTTGCTCAAAAAAAACCAACTGGCAAAATCAGTTACTTCTATTTAAAAATTTCTATGGGACTTATCTGAAAGCTGTGTACGTCCCGGCATAGAATAGGCCACCCCTTTCTTTCCCGTGGATGTCGTTAGAGACGAGTATGGGAGCACATGATGGACAGCAGCGTCCCTCTTAAAACGTCACCAAAAATCAAACTGCGGTTGCCAACCCGCCTGCCAAGCATGGCAATTATTGACAAAACCCCCCTTACGTTCAGCAATGAATACTTAACGCTTGATATAACAATAACAAAAACTAATTTGAAAGTATATCCCGTCACATAAAAACACAAAAAAAAAACGCATAGAGGAGTATTATAGGCGAAACAGTATACTCTGTTATGTCCATGGTACCGCTCATGTCTATAGGCGACGGTTACCACTTTGCATCAGGTGGGCCGTCAGCTTGTTGCCATTGTTAGTTGTATAAAAAGAAAGACTTTTCAAATCAACTTAAAAATAACGGAGTTACAAGGTAATAAACATAGAAAAAATATAACCAAAAAAAGAAAGTCTTTTTTTAAGATTTACATATTTTGCTCCACTTTTATATCGTTATGCTAAGCTACTAAGATACCATGCAGTGTTTTGTCAGTACCCATTCGGTTCTTTGACAATGCGTTTTCGATTCTGAGCCACCAGTCTCAAAACCTGGTACTTCACTGGTGCTCCGCCAGCGTGCGTCAGCGCAGGCGGGCATACCATTTTCACCCATCAAAAAAAAAAATCTCAAAACCTACCTCTATTTTTATTTAATATTACAAACCAGCAGATATTATAGTTAACTACATTAATCGATTTCGATAAAAGTTGGCAAAAAATTACATTCATTATGTATGAGGGGTGCTGAGAAAGAGGTGGCTGGTACTTAGTACATGGCCTGGGCCCTAGGGCGGCCAAGACTGCAAATCCGCCACTGTTTGAACAATTTTTGAAAATTTACAGATAATTCCGACGTTGCCACACTTCGGTAAGCAAAAGTTATAAACGCCCTTAACGTAAACCTACGAACATATTATGCAAAATATTTATCCCATTTATTATTTAGAAAGATTCCAGACAAAAGACACTCGACTACAATTAAAAAATCTTCCATTGAGACCTTAAAACCGTAAACTGTATAATTTAACCTTAATCTATTTACATAAACTAGTAACATAAGAAATAATAAAAATAACATGCGTGGTAAAATATTTAACTATACAGAGCTGTATCTCCATTTTATGGATTATTTACATGAATGAATGAATGAATGAATAAATAAATGAAAACTTTATTGTTCTTTTCAAAGAATAATACAGATTATAAAGATTAACATTATGTACACAAACAAAAATAAATTATTACCAGAGGGAGACTTTGTACAAAAGTCGTTTGTTTGGGCACCTCTATCCCATTCGTATTTCCACCGTGAAGTAGTTGTGTTTGCATGGCTGTGTTTCGATTTGAAGGGTGGGATATGGCGTGAATTTACTGGGTACAGAGGAATAACACATTAGTCCTCAGGAATGGTAACAAATGGGAGGCGGGGATATCATGGGCGAAACAGTATACTCTGTTATGTGCATGGTACTGCTCATGTCTATAGGCGACGGTTACCACTTTCCATCATGTGGGCCGTCAGCTTGTTTGCCATTCTAAGTTGCATAAAAAAATTAATAACATGAACCTAATTATTAATTTGACTGTTAAGACGTGTTCGCAGTTACAAAATGTAATAAAACACATACACACATAAAAGAGGGTGTTCGTTAACAGACTGACCCATATAACAAAGTGCAGCAGAAACCACTGTGTCTAGAATCTTGAAGTTTTACATTCTTTATATATAAGTTAAGAAAGCTCGACTAATTTCAGGACCATTCTGTGACTGACTGTGACGTTAGCACGGATTTGAATGCGCGCCTGTTAAGCGTTGAGTGTAAGCAAATTTTTTTTTATAACACACGGAGCAAACATGCACACGGCTCACTTAATGGTAAGTAACTACCGCCGCCCATGATCACCCGCAAAACCAAAGGCATAACAGGTGTGCTGCCGGCCTTTTAAAAAAGAAATTAATTACACATAAGTACAACCGGTAGTTACATTACAATATCCTCATATATTTTTTCCTTTGATCCTCTTCGAAATTCAAATAAAATAAAAAAAAAGTTGGTCATATACATTCTTAATATGAAATTCATCATTATTGAATATAATTTCTATACAATAAATAGAAATACAGCTCTATTACATAGTGCATAGTAATTTTTTTTCCATGACAACTAACTTCCAATTTGTTACAGAAACCAGCTAAGACAGCTGTCATTCAGAAAATAATAAAATAAACAAAAGAATGTAACTTCATAAATTCATATCGATTTCAGGAACATTCAAGCAAGGACGGTGAAGTTATGAAAAACTTTAAATAATTAATTATAGTCGTAAAATATTAAAGAAAATATTATTAAAATATGTATTTTTAAGTGTTTGCAAAAAAAAACCGCGTATTTATATAAGACAGGTACATAGGATGAAAACGAAATCGTTAGAGGTACATATAACTAAGTATATACCCATATCCATAGAAATTTAATTAATAAAAAATTCATACAAAAAATTCTACAAAAAAAGACTTCAAATACGACAAAACCAATTATTTTGATTTCAAAACTAAACTGCTCAATCGATTTTGATAAAATTTCTATGGAATCAATCTATAACTATATTCTTTTATATAAAAAAAAAAAGTTTTGGAAATCAGTTTACAACTGACAGAGTTATAAGGTAATAAACATAAAAAAAAACTGAATTGAGAACTCTCTTCTTTACTGAGTTAAAAATAAAAAAAAAAAACAAAAAAATTTAAGCCTCCATTCTAATTCAAAAGTTACAGTATGGAAGGCGTAAATTTTTTTGTCGTTTTCGAACAATGTTTTTTTTGGAGATACTATTCTATTACGATAGTAGAACACTCCATTCAAAGGATTCTAACGACTTCACTTACATCATGCATTTTAATAAGTATCACTGACAATTGTTCATTGTTATTGCTAATTGTTTAATAATTATTAATAATTGGTAACTGTTATTAATAACAGAATTATTGTTAGGATTAATTTAACGTCTGAATTGTAAAAAAAAAAATTAAATAATTTTATAAACGGAACAATACAACTAAATCATACATCGAGTATTATGTACTATTTTTGTTTGCAGTTCAATTTGAGGCAGTCTGTGTACAGTAAAGTGGTTAAGCAACATTAGGCGCTGTCCACACACTCGACAACTTGACCATTTTCGTTTCTAGATCACAAATCAATTATTAAGTATTAAATGTATTTAATACTTAATATGTATATAACTTAAATCGAAATTTCACAATCTCTACACACGATTTACCAATGTTCATTCCAATCCCCCTACGTCATACATTACATTCACCAATAATATCACTTTATATTTAAACTTTTATTGGTAGCCGAAGCAATTTATTTGCGTTAATGCACTAAATAATTTTAGATTAAATAGAAAAAAAAATACTGAAAAAAATTGATCAAATATATTTTTAAAAACCAAATTACATATAAATTTTTACATTATTTATTTTAGTAATATTTTAATTTTTAAAAACACAAATCTAAAAAAAAAAAAATTGCTTCATCTACTGATATAAGTATACCAAAACATAATAAACCAATCCTCTTATCCAATATAACATATTCCCACCATTCGATTAATAAAAAAAAAATGGTAAAGACTTGAAATTTGACTTGTTAATATTATGTACATCACAAATGTAAATTTAAATGGATATACCGAGTCGAATTTTAAGAGCTTATTTGTATAGTAATGACAGTAAAATACCTCTAACAAACTCACAGATCTATTTTAACAATAAATCTTTTGTCTCTTTCTTTCAAATTGAGAAACACGTAAAAATAAAAAAGACAAAACACTATAATTGTTGTAAGTTTAAACATTTTTATGAATAAGGGAGTATGAGTAAATCAAATTTCAATTTTCAAGTTTTCATCAATTTACATCTTAACGCCACCCCATTATGGGGTAAATAGATAACACACGTGTGCTCACAACCGATCCCTACATACAACTTAATTCGTACACTTTCATGATCAAGTTTTCCTTACTTTTCCTAACACATTTAAACATATAGCCTATTGCTCGATAGCATTTGGCTGACTTTAAGCCATTTCTCGATTTGTTACTACGGTACCGTTCTAATTTGTGAGTTTAGCTCCCATAGACAACTGGCAAACGAGCCTAGCACGAGATAGAACGAGTTAACAACATCTACCGTCTTTTTCATTCATTATTAATCAAAACATCTATGGGGGCTGTACCGTTTCTGTAGAAATTCTCCATTTTATATAATTTGCTGAAATACGCGGTAAAATATCGAATTAAAAATGTACCAACAAAATAAGAAGCCTCCTTGTAATGTAGTTTTGTACAAACAAAATGCATTTAACATCTTAACTTTAATAATAATACTTATAAACGAGACATGTTTTTTTTTTTCATAAGAAATATATTAAATTCTTAATAAATTAATTTAAATTTACATAAAGTGTATTGCTTAATATTATTCCATGTGTACATTTTGGTCAACATTCTCTTTTTTTATTTTAACATATTTTAAAAATAAAGTAATTATTTTTTATAAGATTAAATTCTAAAATAATTTAAGGATGGAAAGGAGGTAATTTCGATCATGATTTATTATTTACATTACTGATTTTTCGTAAATTGATATCTTTCGTAGTTACTTTAAAGATTATTTTTGCTTAAAAAAAATCAAACTGTCACATTAAGAGATGCAATTTTTTTAAATAAAATCTATATACATCATATTAGGTATAGTATAATATTTTGAGGTATTTTCAGCTATAGGTATGTGTTCTTTTATATTAATAGTTGCTATTTGATATAGCAAAATTACTCTTATGGTTAAAGACATAAAGTTTTCTTTAGACTTAGTTGGTAGTCTATTGCACCTTGGCCTTTCCAGTGACTAAACGAGCGTACTCTTCGTAGAAGCGCGGGAAAAATTGTATGGCGAAGTATACAACTGTGAGATACGCCACGATAGCCAGCGTTAGGATCAAGTCGAACACGGCCGGCTTTACACTGTAATAATAGAAATTAAATTGTATTAAAATTAGTCAAACATTGGGTTAATTTTGAGGCGCTATTTCTGTAATCCTTAGGTTATATACATAGAGCCTCGAGTCTCGGCTCGGGTCTCGAAAATCGACTCAACTTTTTGTCAGTTAAATGTCAAATTAGCTGACTCGTTTTATTATCAGTATTCTATATACGCATATAATGTATCTTGACGTATTATTTAATAAACAAAATGAGTGTTTACACATAAAAAAAAATACAGAAATTATAAGACAAAATAAATATAAAAATTATAAAGTAGTCATAACTATTTAGCATGCAAAATTGTATGAAAAATTCTTATGTTTTTTTTTTTGTACGTATTTTCATGATAATTAAATAAAAAAAAATATTAAGAATTTTGTACGTCTGTACGATTGTTCCAGCATCACGTAAAAATGCATGAATTTGATGCATTTTTTTGTTCCTATCGATAGCTGTATTCCTGAACCTCTAATTTAGAATCTGGAGTATGTTTCATCTTGATACATTAGAATTGGTCTATTTTATTGAGGTCATACATCTGAAATCCACAAACGGAGTAGCGGGCATAAATCTAGTAATAATATAAACATAATAATTACCTGTAAACATACAACTGCGCCCGGGTGGGTCCGTACAGCGTATACTCCGGTTCACGCTTGTCGACCGTGTGCGTACTCACGGTGATTTCCATGTACCTGGACAGCGTCCGCTCCAATGCTCCCGTCACTCCTGACAAACATTAGTTTTGTTCATGCAACTTAGAATGGCAAACAAGCTGACGGCCCACCTGATGGAAAGTGGTAAGTGTCAACTATAGAAGGGAAAAGAATTGTTAGTGACGGAGTCTAACAGCCCTATTGCTAGCAATGTACCCTATCAGGTTCACCTCAATGCGGTTCCACCTGGAAACTATTGTGGTTAATTCTTGTGGAATTCGTCAAGATGACCTGCTTTCATCCTCACTTATAATTTAATCGTCTTCCATGGGGGGAAAGGGATTGTTAGTAATGGAGACTGAGAATCTCATTGCTAGCAATATACCCAACCAGGTCAAATTCGCGGTTCTCCCTGGAAACTATCATGGTTAATTCCTGATGAATTCATCATGATGGGCTAACTGACCTGTTTTCATTCTCATCTATCACCCTTCACTGGTGCTCCGCCAGCGTATCCCGTTAGCGCAGGCGGGGTTACCATACCATACCATCAACCATAAAAAAAATCGTCTTCCATGAGAGAACAGGTATAAGAACAGGCCGAATTTACAAAAAAAAAAATATTGATGCAATTAAACTTACCAGCATTTGGTGGCAGTGTGGTGATTATTTGCGGAGCTCTGGGTTGCGACGACAAATATTTGTACCAATGTTTGATGGCCACCTCGTCCACGCCCTGAAAACGACATTGTTGTTTTGTTGTTGTGCCGTTAACTGTCCACTGCTGAACACAGGTCTCCCTCAAAAGAAAGGTCTTGCCAGTAGTTGCCATATAAAATTCCCATTATCCAGTTATCTTTATATATAAAAATTAATGCCACTTTTCGTTGTAATTTTATAACTCAAGAACGGGCTCACCTGTCCAAACCAAATGTTAAGGCTCTGTTCGGATTATTTAGTAGATGGTTTATGTGAAGTTTGCACAAAATCGGTCGAGCGGTTCGTCATTTATCACATTTTTTGTAACAAATGAGAATTCAATAAATGGCAGATTATTTTGTTAATGGGGATTTTTGTGTTAAATTCAAACTTTTTTTTTTATTGGGGATTATGCTGTCAAATTGAAACTTTTTTCAGTGTTGGTTGACACATGCATGCATGTACAAGCATGTAGTTATGTCATTCATGCGGTCATTTCACTTTGGACGTGCTTCGATTAAAGCAATTTGTCAGCGATATTGATGTTAATTTTTTTTTATTATTTCACTTTATACGTAGCGAAGCACGTACCGGGCCGCTAGTTTAATATATATTTCATATAAAAAATAATAAATAGAATATCCATCTATGAAATAACAATCAAATATTGGTAGAATAAAGACTATCAATTTAAACATATTCTTAAATGCTTTTACCTTAAAAAAATAATTAATAGTGTTGAGATGGTAACAGCATGAGGTTCTTTAAAATGAAGTAAAGAGGTTTCATCAGGGTCGGCAACGTGAGCGTAATGCCCCTGGTATTGCAGGCGTTCCTAGATTACGGTAACTGTTTACCATCAGGTGGCTCGTGTGCCACCCCAGTGGTATAAAAAAAATGCAGACAATGTCACAGGTAAAGCTAGTATATTATAAAGTGCACTTCGACATACGCCGTTCAATGTAAATCGTACTTAAAAGAAGACATACCAATAGTTCATCATACAACATGGCGTCCTCATCGTTGACTTCGTCCGTGAGATTGTACACGTGCGATGCGAGGGCGCGCGCCAGGACACCTATATTCTTGATCAGGTTTGATGCTGAGAGCTCTGATGGTGTATCCAGAAGCGATCCCCTTGATGGCTCTTTGTGACTCTGTAAATAATATTTGGTATTGAAAGGAAGCCTTGTAAATTTAAACATTTTTATTATTTTACCCCTACTATTGACATTTTTCTATTTTATAAATTTATTGTATTAGTTGTTATGTATAAATGACATAATGTACTATAATCTAGACTTTTAATAAGTAAGGTCAATTTAAATAATATAATTGAATTACAATTTTATTTTAATTCGTTTTTAGATTTAATTACCTGTAAAGCGCTAACTGTAAATGCTGTCATTCTCCTAATGCTGAACCTCTCGTGCTGCCAGGCGAGAGTCTCGTCAGCCAAGTTGATCTTCTTATGGTTGATAGGCACTCCGAGTCTCGACTTGATGGAGTGTGCCGCACCACCAGGCTTCGGTGGCTTCGACACATGCATGGTGAGGGTTGCTGACGATGAGATGGAGTCCAGGCACATGACGAAGGATACATCCTGTTAACATAAAAGTTTAACCGCAGTTAGGCTTTGGCACAGTTCTTAAAGGGGCGCTGCTGCCCATTCCTCGACTATTATGTCATGTTAATCATAATAGCAACAGTCTGATAACGCCTTTGATATATATATATGATTCTATTCGTGACCATATTTATTTTATTACTAAATTTTATAATATAATATAATAGAGGGTTAGGTCAGGCAGGTGGCCGGTCGTAAAACTAAAAACCAAATCTTTTTGTAATATGGATAAAATCATATTACGCCGACCCCAAATGATTGGGACAAGGGTAAGAAGATGATGATGATTTATTTTATTACTAGCTTTTACCCGCGACTTCGTCTGCGTGACCTGGATATGTTCACTAACCAAGATAAAAAGAAACCTATGTTTTTCTCTATTTCATATAATACCTATGTTAAATAACATAGTGATTGGTTAAGCCGTTATGGCATCAAGAGATAAGAGACAAATTCACTCTCTCGTTTATAATATTAGTAAGGATAAATACCTCTGAATGTCAACTACTTCAAAAAAGGAGAATGTCTCAATTCGTTTGTATTTTTTTTTAATTTGTTACCTTAAAACTCAATCATTTACAAACCAATTTGGAAAATTATTTTTTTCATCTGAAAGTATAACACTTTGAGATTAGTCCCCTAGGAAATTTGTCAAAAATTGATTTAGTAATTACAGTTTTTAAATCAAAATAACTGGTTTTATCACAATTGAAGTCTGTATTATTTTTGTAGAATAAACTTACCTGCAGCAATGAAGCGTCGGCTGAATCCAACTGCTCCTCCAGCCACTTCTTAGCAGCGAAGTAGTTGAGGGAGTGTCCGGCGGACGTGAGCACGAAGAGTAAGGTGGGCCCGCCGCGGACCGCAGGCGTCGAGTACAGCCGGGAGAAGATGCGAGCCAGCTCCAGCACGGCCACCGCGCCGGACGCATTGGAATCTGCGCCTTGGGATAATTCCTACAAAATATAAATTAGATTAATTGTATACCAACCGTTTTCAAGATGGAATAAATACATTTTGTATCTCTGATTCTTCAATGTAATATGTAACCTAATTCTAGGCTCCAAGAGTCATGAATTCAAAAATAGACAAAAAGCACCCTAATAATAGTTTTATCTTTGTACAAAATGTACGGTACAGCTTGACCGCTCGGTGAGCGTGGACTGTAGGGTGCTGGTTCAGGCTGGAGAGAAACGATAAAATTCCTTTCTTGAAGCTCCCGGTTCCGTACTGAAGAGTCTCCTATTTCCTTATCGGTTGGGGAGTGCAGTGCATGCCGCTCGACGGTAGGCGGCCTATCTTTATACCCGCCCGGTCGCACGATAACATGTACCAACTCACATTAGTGAGTCTGTGCGAGCGGGACGGGGCGAGTGTGAGAGGGACGCGTAACTCTTCAGAGCGGCACCATTTGGCGTCTATTTAGTTGTTATAATTATCCTTATTACTATTATTTTTACAATCTTTTTCTTATTTCTACTTGTGGGTAATAATGACTCGACACAATAAAATGCTTTATTCAACTTACAACTATAAATACATCAGAGAAAACCTATATAAAATTAACAATTTAAACGATTAAAAAACTAATGACTTATGCTAACAAAAATAACTATAAAATATCGCTATAAACTATACAAAGAGATTACAATGTCGCGAACACAAAAGTTGTTTGCATGGGCACCTCTGTCCTTTTCGTGTTTGAACCGTAAAGCAGTTGTGTTTGCATGGCTGTGTTTCGGTTTCAAGGATGGGATATGGCGTGTTTAATTTTAATTTACAGGGTATAGGGGAATAACAACTGAGTCTTCAGGAATGGCAACGCATGGGGGGTATCATGGGCGAAACATTATACTCTGTTATGTCCACGGCACTGCTCATGTCTATAGGCGACGGTTACCACTTTCCATCAGGTGGGCTGTCAGCTTGTTTGCCATTCTAAATTGTATAAAAATATGAAAAAAATCCTATATAATTGATATATCCTATATGAAAGTTTCCTATATAAATTTTCGAAACTGCCCAACTGATTTTAATGAAATTTTATTGAATATATTATATGATTGTGTATTGTTTGTACCTTGACTTAAAACATGAATAAGGTGGTAGAACTACATTTATAGGGTTTTTTTTTTTATAAGTATATTACCAATATAAACATATCGAGCCTTTTCAGGAAGAAGATCGTAAGCGCCAAAAATTCCAAAAACTTTTTTTAATATGAACCGCCAGATCTACTGATTTTACACCTTATAGCTTATTTTAGAGTTCAAATTAGAAATGTAATTAACTTTATTAATATTCTTTGTTTTTATCGTAAGTTACAAGCCATTCGGTTTTTTAACGTAACCTCCACCGACTGACAGATCGTAAGTATAATACCTGTCGCTTACAATATAGTACTAGGTTCTTAAGTTTATTGTAAGCTTCCTACTTGGCACTTACGATAATAAATTTATGCAACGTAAGTTAAACTTGTCCCTTGCGGTAGAAACAAAATGCGTTTTGCGTTGGGTTGTTCGTAAACTGTAACATTATTATACTCAAATAAATTAAATATGAATACCATAAACTTTGATAACTATATTAGAAAAGTTGCCAGCAGTTTTGAAAACTTTTGATATTTCGCAAATGACACTGCGTTACACTAAATTGCATAAAATTGCAAGTTTAAGTTAAAACCTGACCAACGCGGCAAAAGCACGCCTTCAAATAAATACAGTCAATCTCAAACTCAAAACGTAAATAAATTTATAAAAGAGTTGCCTGTCGGGTAATCACACTATTGTAGAAACAATAGTAATAAATTGTACTTACCAACTGAATTTAGGGATGTGACTTATTTATATAAAAACTTTTACTTGAAAGATGATGAAACGAAAGATTTAGGTGCAGTAAGTTATCAAAAGTTTAGAAAAATATTTAAAACTGAATTTAACTTAGGATTTCACTTACCAAAGAAAGATAAATGTGGTCAATGTGAGAGAATAAAAAATTTGAATGATGAAGAAAGAAAAAAACGATAGAATCAGTTGCTTACAAGAATCACATTAAGAACAAAGAAAGATCATTAAAGCTATTTCTAGAGGATCAAAAAATAAGCAAAGACTACAGAAACTTTTTATGTGCGAGCTATGATCTCGAAAAGGTCTTAACAACACCTCACAGTCAAAGTGTAAATTTCTACTATACTCGAAAGCTATTATAATGAAAGCATTTATGAAAGCGGTACCAGATCTGCATTTTGTTATCTTTGGAATGAAACGAAAGCGAAAAGAAGAAATTAAATCTGTACTATTATCTTTAAATACCTTAAAATGGTTGACGAGAGAAGGACTCAAAATGAAATTGCATTATACTGTGATAGTTGTGCAGGACAAAATAAAAATAAAACCATGATTTTAATGCTGTATTATTTCATACAATATCATGCGAGTTTTGTTGAAAAGCTGACTATAAACTTTCTTATTCCTGGACATACGACATGTCAGATGTATGATGCCAATAGATTCTGTGCATGCGACAATAGAAGAATTTGTACAGAAAAGAACCATTAAGGCACCATCTGAATGGCAAACTTTGATTGGAAATGCTCGGACTAATCCAAAAAATATGAGACAATTCTTTTAAAAAATAGTGAAATTAAAGACTGAAATTCCTATACAACAGCCTTCTTACCAAACAAAATTAAAATACAAACAAGCAAGCTGCGTAACGCTAGATTTGATTGAACGATTGAAGGCGACAAATTCTATCTTAAATACGACTATAATGGACCCGAATAAGCTGTTGATGTTCAATCAACAAGCCATTCGTGAACCGAAGACTGCTATCACTGAAAAAAATCCCATTTCGAAGGCAAAATATGAAGATTTAAAGAAAATGTGCTAAAAAGGTGTCATACCAGAAGTATATGCAAAAGAATATCTGGATTTGCCCTACAATAAAAACACAAGAGAACGAGACTAATGAAAACGACGACTGAGTTATGTCTTTTTTGGTATTTCATTTTGTTAATAAAGCCAATTCACTTAAAAGTGATTAATGGTTATTTTTTTTTACTTTTTTGTACTTCTGACACTTTGTCCGTCTCTGTCTATCACTGTATCTCGTAAATACAGTTAAAAAAAACTTCACAAAAAATTATTTCTACTATTTCATGATATTTAGGAATTATCGTAATCGACATACTCATATCAGCTCTACCTAATAACAGTCATCAGTTTTAACGTAAGCGACAAATGTATGTGATTTTAGAGTACTGATACAAATCTTAACATTTGAAGTAATAGGGAGGTGCCCACATAACACTTAGTAGAAATTTGAAATTGATGCTATAAATATTTTGAGAAATATTTAAAAAAAACCCTCTCCTGTAAAATATGCAAAATGGCGGTTACGATGTTCTTCCTGAAAAGGCTCGATATATACTAACAGGCACAACACCAGAAGAGTCATAATGCGCGGCAATCACTATGGTCTGCGCAGATCCCGAGCGTCCCACCAACTTGCCATGCAGGGTCACTGGTTTGGAGTCTAACTTCTGAGGGGTCGATGCTGATACCACTGCAAAAGTTATAATAATTAACCTTTGGTGATTATCCAGTATGGCAATCTATAGTGGACGAATAATGGCTGAGATGATGATGATGATGATGATTATCCATTATTTGGTATAGAAATTGCAAAGGGACTATGTTTTGGGTGATAATTTCTTCAAGATTAAGTAAAATTATTATTTGTAAACTATTTTGTTTCGAACTGTTCTAATGCTATTGGTATCTGATGGGTTTTATAGCTTCATTAGGAGCGTGCAAGGGTGAGTGCAGGGGAGAAAGCAAATGGCACTCCGAGCTCGCGAAAGGAGAGCAAAAAGTGTCGATTCTTAACAATGGTTTACAGTGTGTGCTCATGGGCGCCTGATAGCTGGCTATGGGGCAAGATGAGTAACGTGACAAACACAAGATGATGATTCTACCTCACCCGTACTGCTAGCATATAATGTAAATGTTATTCTTGCCTAACTCTTACATTATTAATGTAAATTGAATGAAATTTATAATTCATAAATTCCGAAAACTTCAGTTTTCGGAATGTATAGGAGAAAGATTTAAAGGTACCCTATGAGGCTGTGTGATGGTAAGCTTTTCTAAATTTTATGGATACATTAAAGTGCTGGTGATAATTTGTATACTTTTGCATTCAACTTACCAATTTGGTATCCATTGGAAGAGACACTGTTAAACATAGCTTCCAGAGCCGTCTTCGACTTGTCATCGGTGATGAAGCTGTGCTGCAAGTCTCTCAGGATATCCTCAAAATCAGGTGTCCACTGAGCAAAATATACAGGTGCATTGACCTCGTTCTGAATCATTGCCATCTCAAGAAGTTGAATGTGCTGAAAAGAGTTTGGTAATAATAAATATTGATTGATTGATTGATCAAATACTTGTATTTGAGTCAATGTATGTAATTTTTATTTATTTATATTTTACCCCACTTTAAAATAAGGAAGGTAGTAACAATTTCTTTTTTCTTTTTGTACTACTTTGAAGGCAAACAAGCATATGGCTCATCTGATGATAATCCAAAATCCAAAAATGTGACATATTTATTTATTTATTCATTAGTACAAATATGTGTACATGGCAGACTCAATGCTAAAAGCATTCTCTCCCACTCAACCATAGGGAAGTATCAGAATACTTGAATGCGGTACTACTAATTATTGATATACATACATACTAAAATTACATATATAAAGGAATTAATATATATGAATACACAAATATATTTACACATATATGATATATACTATATTATACACAAAATTGAGAATAATATAAAGCATGTACTGCTCGGATAAAGTAAAAAAGTGAGCATGAACGTCTTTTAGTTGTAGAACATCTTTAAAGACAGTTTAGTTTATCACCTTAATCCATTCATATCTTCAATTACATACCTCCTTGTCTTCAGGTGTCAACACAGTATCATTTTTGGGCAGCACCAGGAGCAGTGCACCAGCTTTGCTCCTAATCTCCATGAACTGCTCAATGCTGATATCTTCCACCCTGGCCACTACACAATGGCGGGATGTACTCCAAGAAGTGAGTGATCGGCCTTCTAAGTTGAAGCTGGCACTGCGGCATCCTGTTGTTAATATTAACATTAATTTAGACTATTAGCACTATAATATTAGTGATATTAACCATTTATTTTAAAATAGTCAATGTTACTTTTAATATTGGGTAGTAAGGGGGATGGACTATTTTTTGTCATTTTATATTATGCAAAAAAATATATTATAATAGGTTTGTGATTTTCTTCTATTTTTATTACAACCCATTTAACGTATATCACAGATTTCTCTATCCACCACATTCTTAAAAACACCCACCAGTAGTGGATTCGGACTTTTGCAGTAGTCTATTAAAATTTCTGCAATTCAATATAAAAAAAAATTTACATCATATTAATTGCAATTATTTTGTCAATAAAAATTGTAACTTTAGTATCTTTATAAAAAAAAATCACTTCAAATTTGTCGCCTCTAAAATCAGCTCTAGGCTCCAGCCGGGCTTAGTAAACCTGCTGATAAATCCGCCACTGATACCCACTATCACTTAAAATTCTTTTATTAGACTTTAGAACTAATTTGACCTATTAAAAAAAACTAACAATAAGTTATAAATCTGATTATTAAAAAATGCATTCTAGGACATCACATGGATTCGAGCAATAAATTTTTTAGGCAATGATAAGATTGTAAAAGTAAACAGTGATTTGGTACAAGTGACATCTCTGGACACAAGATAACCTAAAAATCCGTCATCATCGATTTTGAAGTCATTAAATTAGAGTACATTTAGAAAAGATTACTTACCATGGGGTACTGTGTGAAGGTCGTATTGTTGCATTCTATATACAGAAAATTCATGAGAAGCTGTAACCGGGTTCACTGGGGACATGATGATAAAAATAGGCAAAGCCACAAGCAGATAGTAGGGCAAATAGCCCTTAAAAATTTCGGCAAAGCCATCTGCTTCGTCTATCCACATTTTGGAGACTACTTATTCAGAGATATTAAAAAAATTTGTTCAATAATCAATTCTTAGTACATAATCAAATTAAAACCTTACGTGTGACACAATAGGTCAATGACATTATTTTTTTTCAGATTCTGACACATGACAGCTAGACTAGCTACATTTATTTTAATACAGTTTACAATCGGTCGACTAAAGTAACATTTTTATGGAGTACCTATATACTATTAATTTTCACTTGATTTATTTACGTATTTGTGGTAAATTGGTAATAATTATAAGTAGGTACATACTTTAATAATTTTATTTTTAATAGCGATATTTATGTTTTTAATTTGTGTAAAGTATGTGTGTATTTCTTTAGAATAGAATAGAATAGAATAGAATTTTATTGCTAACTGTGTACATACATATAGCAGTAACTATTGCTTTGAATTTGACATCAGTATCAACAGTTATACCCTATCGGGCATGCAACAATTTAAGAACAGGTAATTATATTAACATCGAAACATTCAATACTATTACCATTACTTGATTACAAATAAATATGAAATATTATACAATACAATTAACAAGACAAAGAATAATCATAACCAAATTAAAATAAAATAAACATAATTTCACTTACATGTCAATTATTATTAATTATTAATTTAATTAGTTTTAAGATTGAAGTATTCATTTAAATTATAAAAAACATTATCAAAAAGCCAGGCTTTGAGTTTAATTTTAAACATATGCTTATCCTGACATTTAATGTTTAAGGGAAGATGATTAAATACTTTAATACCCATTATAATTGCACTCCTTCCATATGTATAACTATTTATTGTTGGTAGACAAATATCATATTTGTATTTATTACGTAAATTATTTCGAATATCAGATTTATTAACAAAATATGTCATATTATTATTAACAAAAACACACAATTCCATAATATATATGTTAGTCAGGCTGAGATATTTTTCATTTTTAAATATATTTCTTAAAGTCTCATCTGAATACATATTATAAATAATACGTAGACATTTCTTTTGAAGTAGAAAAGTCGATGCAACATCTACAGAATTTCCCCAATATATAATTCCGTATGTTAGTAAAGGGTACACATTACCAAAATAAGCGGACCGAGCAACAGTAGGCGAAGAGTTTTCCACGAGTATAGAAAGAGCATAACAATAACTTGATATCTTTTTATTTACTTTATCTATATGCGATTTCCAGTTTAGATGACAATCTATGGTAACACCTAAAAAGTTATGTTCGTTAACTTCCTCGACTGTTGTATTTGAATGATGGATTTTCAATTTTAAAGAATTATTTTTATAGTTGCGAAATTGAATAAATTTTGTTTTCTTAAAATTTATTTTCAGGTTAATAGTTCTGAGCCACTTAACTATTGTTTGTAATGTTTCATTTATTTCATTTTCAAACACGTCATTATCACTGCTATTATCTGTTATAAAAATGGTCGTATCATCTGCAAACATCACACAGAGATGTTTTGTGATTTTAGGTAAGTCGTTTACACTTACCAGAAAAAGAAGTGGACCCAGAACACTTCCTTGAGGGACTCCTACAATTGTTTCTGCTTGAGTAGATTTAATTTCCTCAACAGTATTATTGTTTTTATTATATTTGTCAATAACTGTGTATTGTTTTCTATTCGTTAAATATGATTCAACAAGTTTTAATGCTATACCACGCACACCCATGTTTTCTAATTGTATTAAAAGAATGTTATGTTTTATACAATCAAATGCCTTTGACATATCCAAAAATAAACCAACACCTGCAGTTTTAGTGTTCAATGCATCCCATACGTCTTTTAGTATTCTAAATATTGCCGAACTTGTTGATTTTTTCTTTTGAAATCCAAATTGATTACTATCAAGTATGTCATTAATTTCGAAGAATTTAATTAGTCTTAAGTAAATTACTTTCTCAAATATTTTAGAAAACGACGGTGGTAAGGCTATTGGTCTATAATCATTTATATTTGATCGCGTACCCTTTTTAAACAATGGTTTTATTTTTGAAAGTTTTAAGGCGTCAGGATATTTGCCAGTTTCAATCATTAAATTTAATATATAAATGAGAGGTTCACTTATACAGTTTATGGATTTTTTAATAATTGATATTGGTATGTCGTCATAACCACAACTTTTTTTATTTTTAAAACTCGTTACAATTTTAATTAATTCAGTATTATCGACCGGTTCTAAAAATATGCTCTTGCAAGTTTTTTCGGACGTTGACTTATACAAACTGTTTTCATTGCATTGAGCGTTATCATTTACAAAGTAATCATTAAATGTTTTAGCTATGATTCTCGGGTCTTCAATGAGTACATTATTATTAATGAGATAATCAACTGTATTTTTTAAATTATTTACAGGAGTAGTTAGTTTTTTAATGATATTCCAAGTAGCTTTGCTTTTGTTTGCGCTTTTATTAATAAATTCGATGTTATGTTTTATTTTCGCTTTATGAGTTACTGATTTCAAAATTTTACAGTATTTTTTATAATACACAATAAGGTTTGTACTTCTCTTCTTCAATATATTATGATAAATTCTTCTTTTATATTTACTTGATTTGCATATACCCCTAGTTTGCCAGTTTGATTTTCTGTGATATGTCATTTTGACTTTTTCTACAGGTATACATAAGTCATATAACATTTTAAATATGTTTATAAAAGTTTCATATGCTACATTAGGATCATCATGTAAATATACCTCCGAAAATTTCAGTTGAGACAGGTAATGCAAAAATATAGGCATATTCTCATCAGTATTCCTTCTATATACATACCAGTACTTTAAAATAAACTCCTGGCTACATGGCACCTCGATCAGTTGAGCTGAATGGTCTGAAAGACCTAGGTGCTCGACTTTGGACACGTAATTTTTATGATTTGTCAAGATATTGTCTATGCATGTTTTTGTATTTACTGATATTCTTGTTGGTTCATGTATTGTAGGTTTCAAGTTATATTTTAATAATGTATTCAGGAACATTTCACTTTTACTATTATTCTCAAGAGTATTAATATTGAAATCACCAGCTATAACAATTTTTTTCTTTGAGTACCGTGATCGTATCGTTAATCTTTGCAATAATAACTCCAATGCCCCAATAAATATATCAAAGTTCGAGTTTGGTACTCTATAGACACATATGACCACATAGTTCAATTCAGGTAACAAAATGCCACAACACTCAAAGTTAAGTTCCATTGTTATGTTATTTATGCATTCAAGCTGCTTTGTATTTATTCCGTTTTTTGCATAAATGCATACACCTCCTCTAGATTTACGACGACAAAAGGAAGCCACCATTTTATAACCCGGAATTTGCAATATGTTTAATATTTTTAATATGTTTAATATTAGTTTCTCTTATGATATATATATCTACTTATATAATATTATATTGATCAATACCTATTTATCTACACAGATTTTTAGTCTATTTACGCAACCATAGATTTTTTACCCATAATTTCATCCGCGTGACCGGAATATAAAGTGGAATAAGTTCGCTTCACTGACCAAGATAAATTGAAGTCTATGGCCTTTATTCCACATAGTACATGTATACCAAGTTTCATAATAATCTGTTTAGTCGTCAAGGCGTCAAGAGGTAATAGACAGATAATAAAGATCAGTAAGGATTGTAAATGCGGTTTGCAGACTTACTTTACAAATTCTGCACAATACGGGCATTTAGTTTCGACCGCTTCATTACAAAAATTAAAATTATGGCTTCTAAGATAGACCGCGTAGAGGTAGACCAAACAAACAATAGGGATGTTAATTCTTATCACTAATAATTCCTTTTCTCCATTGTAATTGTATTATTAGCCCTGTAGGTCCCGGCATAGAATAAGTCACCCCTTCCTTTCCCGTGGGTATCGTCGAGGCGGCTAAATGAGCTTATGGTCGAGAGATGGACAGCAGCGTCTCTCTTAAAACATCACCAAAAGCCAAACTGCGGTTGCCAACAACGGTGATATCGAGTAACAAAACTCATCCTTATAGGGGAGGCTTTTCACTCTGCGTGTTCTACCGCTTATACAACGGATTGTGCTCAGAGTAATTATTCAATATAATGCCTGCGGCCACTTTCTATCATCGTACGGCTCGCCATCGACAGGGAGTTCACCCTCATACCTTACAGCCTAAATGGTCGCGTATAACGCGGTTTCAGAGATGTTTTCTCCTACGAACACTCAGGTTATGGAATGAGCTCCCTGCCGAGGTTTTCCCAAGAGACTACAGCATGGGGTTCTTCAAAAGGGGGGTAAAGAGGTTTCTTCAGGGTCGGCAACGCGCGCGTAATACCTCTGGTATTGCAGACGTTCATAGGCTACGGTAACCGCTTACCATCAGATGGGCCGTATGCTTATTTGCCACCTCGGTGGTATAAAAAAAAGGCTAAGTTCAGTGGTCAATGGAGAGTTAAAGGCTGATACATAACATAAGTATATTATTTGGTTTATATCTATATGTGAAGATAATTACTTAAATGTTCCTGCGAAACTACTCACTTTATTAGATACCTCAGTTTGCTGGAACAAGTTCCCGACCGGCAGTTATGAATTTTTAACGTCCTAATTCAGGAAAAGGTGGAATAACTTCTGTTACCTACTTATAATTATGATACTAGTTACACTAATGTCAAATCAATATTAATCTACCAGAGGAAATTGTATAAAAGTCGTTTGTATGGATATCTTTGTTTCATTTACGTTTTTGCCTTCTAGTAGCTGAAGTTACATGGCTATGTCCCAGTTTGAAGTGTGGGATAATAATATTGCAGTTATGAGGTACTGAGGTATACCACTTGAGTCCGGAGGAAGAGATTGTTAGTAATGCGGACTACCAATTGTATTGCTAGCAATATACCCTGTCGGCGAGGTTATGTCGACTTAATTATTGATATTCCATCATTATTTCTGACATTCCAATGTTATAGAAGCGTGACTAGGACTCGATCTTGGGACATTCGGAAAGCAGTCTAGCGTTGTTCGCCCAAGCTGTCATTGCTTTATATTGATTGATGAAAATCAAATAATTCCATATCATCATTCGATTGGGTAGCAATAAT